CCCCCCCCCCCCCCCCCCAACTGACCCAAGAGCGACCATGGTCACGGTCAATGCCGCGTTGTTTGGGGTCGATGCAGCTAGGGCACCTGTGAAGGCCGTCATGAGGCAGGCTGCAACGAGGAGCACTTGTCGGTTGTAATTCCTGAACATTGAAAGCGCGGCATTAAAGCCAATGGAGCCCAGAGTGGTGGCAATCGGTTGGGCAAGCCCTTTCTCGGCAATGGACATGGGCTTGTTGGGATAGACCGCGCTCCAAGCCAGAGGGATGAAATAAAAGTTCATTCCGGCCATGAATGCAGCCGCGTAGGCAATCGCCACAATCCGTTGCCCTTGAAAGATTTCTCGCGGTACCATGGGGTACGGAGCAAATTTCCATTCCCACGCAACCCAGCCCCCAATCGAGAAGAAGCCGATCAGCAGGTAGCAAAGGACGTAGGCACTTGACCACGGATGGGTGTACCCGCTGGCTTGCAACGCAACCAAGCTGCCCAAGTGTGTCAGTCTGACCGAGTCTTTGTCGTGAGGAGAGCACTAGGCAGTTCTTACAAGAGAGTCACCCCAACGACGGAAAGGAAGCTGCCAACATAATCAATCTTTTCCAAAACGGCACGGTAGGAAATCTCAGCGGCACGTGCGTGGTTGCGTGGGTGGTAGAAGATGAGAAGCCCAATCCCACTGACTCCATTGTATATTCTGGAATTCAGGGCCGCCATTAGAAGCCGAACAATCGAACAAGCTTTCCAGGGACCAGACTGACAGAGTGATCCATGCAGTCCATCGCCATGTCGAACGAGAACCGAGGAGTTAGCAGTAAAAGAGGTAGGGGTTGAATGCGACCACATAAGCCGTGAGAACGGCAAGGCTGTATCCTCTGTGTTTGACAGGGACGACCTCGGTCATTCTAGTTAAATCCCTAGATTCAGCAACTTGCCCACGACAATGGGTTCGTCCAACGAGAGGACCGAGACAGAGAGGGACTCATCACTCACCCAGCGATTCCCGTCAGCTCGCCAATTGCTGCTCTAGCCCCGGATATGGCTATGCGGGTCACCGCCTGCCCAAAACTCTGGGCACTCCCTAGAAGGACAGAGCTAATGCTGAGGAGTAATGCTCCGCACAGGCAGATGTATCGTTTCCCGAATAGGTCTTGGAGGTAGCCTGTATACGGAACTACTACCGCGATGACTAGCGTCGTAGCAACTGGAAGCTCTGTACTGGTGTTTCTGGAGCCGAGGTCGGCCTCGATGAGCCACCTACAAAATAAACCAGGATTTGGGATCCTGTGCCACGCAAGTGTCAAGTCAGTAGCCGAGTCACCCTATCACTGAGCCCACAAGATGAACCATGGTTCATGAGGTGCTTACCAGTGTAGAGAGTGCAGAGGAAAAAGCAAGCACATCTGCTGCGCCAATTCCACTCAACCCGTCCATCAGAGTCGTCGCCTTTGTGGGCGGCGCGATTCTCCAGATCAAATTTCGACAACGTCACTTTCTTTTCAATGTTGCTCGACTCTCCATCATCGGGTTCTTTCTCTCGGTCCAAGGTTGGGACTTGGTCAATAGGCAAGTCTTCTTCCCGGCTTTCACGAATATTCGCATCTTTCTCGTCGGTGGACCACTTTGAGGATATTGGTTCAATTGTTGACGGGGTGTCGGGCCTTGCAAGATAAGTCAGAATGCTGTGAAACAAACAGGATGGATGGGCATGGATCATGGACTGAAATACTAGTAGGTAGGCCCCAAAAATACCCCACCCACACTCCACCCTATCTTCAGATCACCGCACGGGAGACAGCTGAACTCCCAGGTCCGGACTCTGCGCTGTTTGACCCAGAAGCTCAGGCCTAGGCTTATTCCACGGGGCAAGAGTAGAGCGCCGTAATTCAATGCCATAAGTCAGTTGGCAGAGTCAGCCTTTGGTCAAAAGGGTTGCAACAAGGTTAGCCGATGATAGACTGCGGAGTCTAGACAAGGAATGCGTAACAGGAGGAACGGTGCAAGGCAACAATTGCCAAGCCAACTTCCTCACGTGACTAGCCAGCAGCCGAATCACTCAGAATGATACACTAGGAATGATTTGACGACTTAGGTAGTTCCTAGCCCCAAAATCTGCAGGCTGCAGCAAGCAGATCAACGACTTATTTCGACCCTCCCGAAAAGGGGTATTCAGAGAGTTATACTATCTGGTCTGCCTCCGGGGGTTTCACCACAACACAGAACTTCAATAGTGTATTTCCCGGCTTTGTGCGTTCTGAAGTACGTTGAGGGATCGACGGCTGAGGTGCCTGAAACGACCACGGTCCCCTGTGTATGTATGCTCTATGGGTAAGCCACCAGCCCCGTAAATCTATTTCTTCGAAATCTCTTTCTCCGAATTCTCGTTTGTCACTACCCTCTCCGCTTTTTTAAAAATGCAAAAGGCTCATTGGATCATCAAAATACCTCAGTAAAGGAGATGAGGAAAAGCGAGCCTTGGGTCGTACTCTACTCATGCGGAAAGAGGCCGGATCAAGAGCTTTGTGCTGTACAAATGTCTTTAGACCCTGTCAGTCCACCCTAGAGTATAGAGATTCAGAAATGAAATGAGCAGTTCTTCGATTCGAATTCCATTTGGCTTTCAAATTGACCACAATTGATCCAGAGTTCGAACAGGGAGAAATTCATTTCTTTCCTCTTGAATTGAACAAGCAGCCATGCAAATTTTCGATACGTTTATATCGCTATCTGGTCTTGGTCTTATCAATCAGGCCAGCTCTCTGCCTCAGAGTTGTCCCCCCTCCTGCCCCCTTGCGCGGTATATCACATTGGTTTATTTTTTTTACCCAAAGATGCACTCCATTTCTTATCTTCTATTTGATCTGTCCCCGGGCGACTTTACTGACAACTTCATTGAAATTTAGGTGCCGTGCGTGGAGGCGGTTCTCCCAGGATCAGAATGTGGCCTATCAAACATTTCATGCCGGTGCAGAGATGAAGCATTCGGGAAAAGTCTTGCCACATGCTAAGAAGCCCATTGTACCGTGATCGAAGTATTGAGTATGTACTACCGTCTACGCACATTTCCCAATTTCCCATCTTCCCTCGCCTCCCTCTCCTCTCAATCCGGGTCTCAGAGATAGTTTCTTTTTTTCCCACATTGGAGATTTTGACAAATGTTTCAGATATCACAAACATGACTCAAATGGCTTATGGTGTCAGGCCTCGAGACCGGTCTCGGCTTAACCTTGTAGTGACTGCGGTGTTCCTGGCCCTGGCGAGTTTCCTCTCTATTATTCGAGTTTGCGTCCGATTCACCACAGGCTTTGTCGTCGACGACTATATCATCTTGATTGTCATGGTGCGCGCACCCCAAACTCGAAGGAATCTCTTCGAGACAAAGCTGAAGGTCTCCAGGTCGGCGCGACGGCTGTTTCAATAATAGATCTAGCATGTGAGTGGTTTATCTTTTTGATCTCGGCTGGCCAGCACATTATTCACTTTGCAGCCATACACCTAGCTGTAGGAAGAGACATCTGGACGATCCCGCCACGGCAGATTGATGACCCTTTAAAAGTAATCTTGGCTCAATCCCTGTTCCCCCCTTGATTTCGAGTCGGCTCACGATTCTGCGGAACAGTTTTTCTACACGAGCGAGCTCATATACATTGCAGTCCAGCAGCTGACGAAATTCGCCGTGCTCGCCTTCTATGTGAGACTCTTTCCGCAACAATACGTTCAACGAGGTGCATATGCATTGATGGCGCTATGTGTGCTATATCCGTTGGCATTTGAATCTGTCACAGCCTTACAGTGCACCCCGGTATCGTACTTTTGGCGAAAATGGCGCAGCCCTGGCAAAGGTTGGTGCATCAATGTCAATGCTACTGTATGGGCTGGCGCAGCCATCAACATCACTTTGGACATTGTCATCTTGGTTATGCCTCTACCTGCGATCAAGAACCTCGCAATGACCAAAAAGCAAAAGCTGCAAATTCTCTCCATGTTTGGAGTCGGGGCGTTGTAAGTCTCGCCGTCTTGTCCAAGACCGAGCCGAGGGAGTGAGGTCTGATGTGGGATTCTTTCTCCTCGAATTTAGCGTCACTATCGTCAGCATTCTTCGGCTTCAGTCATTAGTCTCGTTCGGAAGACAGCAGAACTTATCCTGTAAGTCTTAGTATTAACAGAATCAACCACTTTTTCTCCCCGACTCTAACCCATCTCCATAGGGGGCTTACTACCCGTCACAATTTGGAGCTTAATCGAGCTGGACGTGAGCATCATTTGTGTCTGCATGCCAGCAATGCGCGTCTTCTTACGGAGGACTTGGCCCCTCGTATTGAGGTCGACTACTTGTTGCTCACAAGGCATCATGGCTCAACCCTGGTCCACCACTTAGAGAAAGTCAGGATTCAGCGGCAAAATAGAAAGCCGGAAAAAACAAAACGACACGAACGAGGGTATGCTGTGGCGTGTACTCCGTAGCTCTAGATGTTCCCGGGGCCCCCTCTCAGCAGATCGCTAACCTGATTGATTGTGGGCCTTCAATCGACAATGTCCGGAGACGAGTGGGTACCGAGGTGTCGAGACGAGGCTGACGGGGAGCCTCGCCAGCCCGGTAGGCCGCAAAGGCACTGTTCAGAGGCTCCGGTTGGGGGACGAATAGACTTAGTTAAGCACTGTCAAGCATGGATAGTATTGAACTCAATTGACAAGTAGATTTGCCCCGAATGAAGGCGGCGTCCGATCAACAACTTCAAGGAGAACTATTCAGCGGTTACTGGGGCTGCTGGACGCTGGTGAGTGCCAGGGCGGCCCTTGCCAAGACTAGGTTTACAACTTGCTCTCATGCGATCGAGTCGATATCATATTGGACTGTCAATCACGTCCATTTCCTATTGAATCATGCTTACCCTTCTGTTCCTTGGCATTCCTTGATAGTGAGACTCAATAGTCAACACACCACGGTAGGCACACAGCTTGTGCTCTCCGTAACTCCTGGTGATCCTTTCCCCAGTGGCCGGGGCCCCGGGGTCAAAGGAAAGCCGCGAATTAGAAGGTCCGTAGGTCACCTTGCCCGCGACCTCAGACTTCAGTACATTAAACATTTCTTTCACACTTTCAATGGAGTTCCCTTGTACGCCGCAAGACTCTGGACACCATTCACCGTCTGATGACATGGATAATCGGACTTCTCTTTGGCTCGAGCGCAAGAGGGTGATTGATCGGAAAGCACAGAAACTCAGTCGTGTGCGGGCAAAGGCTTATGTGGATTACCTTGAGAAGACGATTGAGCGCATGTCGGCGGGTCCTAACGGCAATAGTTCTGGCACCCTCGCGCGCCAACTCAAGGAGCAATACGAACAGATTGAAAGGTTGCAAGATATCATCCACAACACTGGCCAGCTGAGTAAAGGGGTGGTTAGCATGCGTCATTCGTCAGTCGGAGATACCAAAGAACCAGCAAAACCCCCAAACAGCATCTCGGGCGCTTCAGGTTCATTGTCCCGTCCAGAGCAAGATGAAGAAGAACCCCCTCCAACGTCCAAGCGATCCGCTGCTCTGGACTATGCAGGCAGAAGAGCCGTGGTAAGACTTATTCTTTCCATGGTCTATCTCGTCCTTGACTTGGCATTACTATTCGGATCTGATGCTCACAGAATGCACACGGCGCGAGCGGATTCTTATTTCTCCCCGACACAAGAGATCGATCTGTTGGATATCCTTGATAATGACGTCGGAATCGAGCTCGTTCAACTCGGAATTCTCATGGGCTTCCACCTGCAGAGTACGGAGCGATTCTCTAAATGCTGGAATATCACTGGTCAACCAAATGTGTATATATACTGGCAGTCTGGCAGGACCAGTTGCCAAACAGACAGAACACTCAACACCAATCAATGTACACCCAGCCTACGAGGATTTAGTCGGCCACAATTTGATTACAACGATTTTTAGAATGCAGCTGAGCATTGCGACATCCAGACGCAGAATGCTGGTTCGTGTTACAAAGTAGCTGTTGACCTATTTTGTCGGCGCCAAGCTGCCTCATTCGGTGAGATTAGTCTTGTCGGGACTAATATGGGGTGTGAATAGGGATGCAGGATAGGGGCATGAATGGGAGTATTCAATCACCTATATAGAAGGCGCTTTGGTAGTGCCATCTGTGGAAAAATATAGGGCACTCTTTCAATTCATTAAGCACAAGAAGGTTAACAGTAGTTTTCGATTATTCTACCGCATAATATGTGAATAGGATCCAAAATCTGACTGCAGGCAGTAGATGGCAGTACGAATATGTGCATAAAATTTGGTCACGTCGGGCTCTGAGCATTGACCGTAGCCTACAGCAGTCAATCGGCCGTGAGAACTAATTTATTCGAACTTTTCGAAAGTCCGAGATTAGTATATTTACTTGCTGCATACTCGTCTCGTCATACTTTTGGAGTAAAGGACTAATGGGTCCGTTGCCCGATATGCTAAAGGAGCTCTGCGCTTCTCCTGCCGCGTCCATGATATCCGTGTCCTCGGTAAGTGGCGCTGAAAGACGTTCTACAATAAGATTGGCAAGATGCCAGTACTCGTTCGCGTGACGCATGAAGCCGACGCGCCTCCACATATGATCCGGCGTGAGAAGGTCCATACTGCACTTTACAGTCGAATGGCGGGAATCTTGAGAGAAATGTGTCGTGTAGACATGCCACACCTTTTTCCAGGCCCTAAGAGCGTTTTGAATCGAGTCTAGAGAACCCTGGCAGCTGAAGGAGCTTTGGTAGTGAAATATGAGAGAGTGCAGGGCGGAGCTCATTGCGAAAAGGTTGAGAGGTCCGAGGTCAGCAAGCGCACAGGTTAGAATATCATCTAAGTCTGTTCGATACAACAGGTCGAAGGCCGAAGTGAAATCATTTGATACTCTTAGCCGCAGCGCGTCATTCCTCTGCTCTTGCTGGAGAGTTTCGAAGCATTCTTCCGCTGTCAAAGCTTGGAAACATGCTTCGGAACACGCCGTGTTCATGGTCATTTCCCTGATCACCATTCGTGGCGGAAGGTTGTTAAATATCACGAAAGCAGTGTCGAGAAGAAAGATCCATGTAAAGACACGGATTAACTCCTCAATAGTTGCAAAATTGCTGAACGAAAAGTCGCAAAAGTCCATTTGACCGTAAATTGGGTGTCTGGCGTTGTGAATTCCAATGTCTCTGGCGGCTGCAATGACCATGCTGAAGCGATGACGCCGAATTCTACGCTTGCTGGAATTCGTTCCTTCCCAGTTCTGATAGAGACACACTATATAAGATGCCTGGAGAGCTCTTAGCTTCTCTCGGCGCCATTGGACTTCTCCCGTGTCTCGGCAGACGGGATTAGGTGCGTCGTTGCAGAAATCCGCGTCGTCGAACACCATTTCCTCCACACAGTTAAACCAGCGTTTCGCGTTCTCAATGTCGGTCCGATCAGGTGAAACGCACGCTCCTATGAGGGTCATTGCGGCAAGGAGCTCCGGCTTTGTCGAGGCAGGATCGAATGTTGGCATATGCACGATATTCACGTTTGGATGCCAGATCGCCCAATAGAGTTGAATATATCGTCGTATATTTGTCGGAGAGAAGAATCGGGCACATGTTTCCTGTACTGTAGGCGACCATGGTAAAGTGGTGCAACTCTTCCGTGGCTTGTGAAAGACGGTATCGCCAATGCAAGCGACTATTTCGTGAGATTTGAACGACAGAGGATCGGAGAGCCACCGACTAAGAGTCGTCTCACTTCCTTCGCTATAGGGTGCATCATCTCCAGATGTGTTAAACGAATCCGCCGGTCTCAATGACGAAGGAGAAGACCTAGCCGGACCACATCCTGTCGCGGCTGGGGGGCTGAAGGCATTGACGCGCCGCCGATGCTCTATCGTTCCACAGTCAAACGAAGCCACTAAACCGGTCTTGCTTGTAAAAGTGTCCAGGAAGGACAAAAATCCCGTGCCCTCGTCTGTGCCATCCCAGGCCGTCCGAGGCGTTTGAGTTCCCGGATTCAAATTCAAGAATTCCTGGCAATCATCGAATGGCCCATCAAGGCCGTTATCTGACAGACCGCACGATATCCATCCATTCATATGTCCGAAAGAGTCAGAAGAGGTGTTTTCAAGCCATAGCTCTTGACTGTCGCGTGTCTGAAGCTGAGACTGGACCTCATGAGGACCGGACAAGGTGAGCCCTATGTCTCGCGGTGAGTTGGGGTTCGACAAAGCAACCCTCTTAGGGATAGGCTCTAATCGCTGTGATGTGAAGCCAGCAACATTATCGCATGTCCTGAGGTGTCTCTTCAGCACATCAGATCGCTGAAATGTCTTTCCACAAAGCGCACACTGATAAGGGCGTTCGCTTCCGTGCGAGAGTTGATGACGACGCAAATGTTCGGGCCGCTTGTAAGATTTCGAACAAGTGGCACACACATTAAAGCTGAAATGGTCGGCCATCAAGATTGTTCCATTCGCCAACGATGGTGCAGTACTGTTAGAGTATAGAGAGCAATTTGAGTAGGACGACAATATGCAGCAGGAAGGTTTTCACGCATACATTATTTCAACCCCAGATCACGAGTAATCTAATGCGGCGGTTATGTACCCGTTAGCACCTCCCCGGGATTTGATGCCGGTAGTCGAAACCTCCCCAGAAACATGGGGAAGTTTTGGTCAAGGTTAGGTTGTCAGACTAAATATTGAGATGGTATCTTATGGCCTCGATACGTTCTTGACCCGGCATAAATGGCGCAATATGCGAATCGGTACCGCATTATTACGTAATTTAATCGAAATAATTTTGTACCCGACCAAAAAGAGGCAAGGTATGCGCATCCGGAAAAGTGGAACCCTAACCATTCGCATAGGCACCCGCCTCGCCGAAAGACCCGAAAACCCCACCCGCAAGGCCGAGGTACACGTCGGGCTTGCAGCTCGCGTTAATCCCAGATTAGCACAGGTTTGACGACTTTTCCCTCTCTCATATCCTTCACGGCTATGTTGATATCACTAGCCTTGTACTGCTTCTGCAAGACGTCAATTGGAAAGTCGCCTTGTTGGTGTAATTTTGCCAGAAAAGGTAAGAACTATGTTCGATTAGCCAAGCGGACTCGCATCGCACTTTTGTGATTCAAAGCTCACCGTTTTGGCAACGCCATCGCCTGCATGTGTACCCCGGTATGTCTTGCACGCATTAATGAAAGGGAAAACCTCAATAGACATTCTCGCCGTTGCCGGAGGTGCGCCTACTGTCACGGCTGTGCCGCAGGGTGCAAGTGCCACAATCATGTCATTGATGACTTGGACCGAACCTGTGCAGTCGATGACTGCGTCAACGCCGGAACCCCCACATATTTGGGCAATCGTCTTGAGGTAATCTGTATTTATGGTATTGACGGTGTGAGTAGCACCAAGTTGTTTTCGCCAAAGTGAGGCGATTCTCATCACGGTCCGCTGCAATTATGACATCTAATATGCCCGACGCTTTGCTTGACAGGTATTTAGCTGCCATAAGGGAAGCAATTCCCACACCACCGATGCCAAATATGACAAGCGATCTAACGTTCTTCTCGAGCGGTTTGACCACATTGAAAATCGCCCCGGCACCGGTCTGGATCCCGCAGCCTAGTGGCGCCAAAAGCTCGAGTGGCAACGACTTGTCCACAGGGATACACGACGCCTCCTGAACTAATGCGGGATTCGCGAATGAGGATTGTCCGAAGAAGCATCCGTGTGTTTCTTTTCCAAGCCATAGCATAGGACATGAGCCGTCAGGTCTTGCGCACCCAAAGTTTCGGCTTAGCATCTGCTCACATGCAAATGGTCTTCTCTGCTGGCATGTATGGCATTTCCCGCAGTAGGAGTAGGAAAGAAGGACATGATCACCCACTTGCACAGACTTGACGTCGCTCCCAATCTGTTCGACTATACCGGCTCCTTCGTGCCCGACTACAACGGGGAACGGCACTGGAATTTTGCCCTGCTGGATCGCGATGTCGGTGTGGCATAAGCCAGTTGCTTTGAGACGGACGAGAACTTCTCGAGATTGAAGAAGTTTTAGATCGACCGTAACGTTGGCAAACTCATGGTCACCCCCCTGTAGAACGAGTGCTTGTGATCGGGTCATGGCGAGTCTTATGGCGCAGAGGGCTCCGAAGATAGGAGTAAGAGGTATGTAGGGGAAGGGAGAGCTCCTTTGGTTGTAATAATCCGGCACGCTTGGAGATATGCAATGCTCGCTGATGTGCCCACTGTATCTCATTAGCGTCCTCACTTCCGGAGGTGTTATCCCACCCCCGCCTCCAATTTTCCTTTCCACTTTCCACGATCCCCTACCATCGGAACATGTTTTCACCAGACAACGGCAGTCGGGATCGGTAGTTGAACACCTTCGTAATAAACAGGCGTAATGATTGACCTGCAATTTTGGGCGACTTATAATGTAGCGATCAGGCTATTCCCCTGGTCAAGCTAATTGGTTGCTTAAGAGGTCCAATATATGTGCACCCATGGCTAGATCAACATGTACAACAATGGCAAGGGCCCAATCGTTTCCTGTCCTCCTCCTTTCCCCCGAATTCTGTAGCCCTATGATCCCGTGGTCGGTGGAGAGAGTTCAAACGCAGACACTCATGAACTGCACTATACTGCCAGCAGCATCGCCACCGTCACCACCTCTAAAAGAATAACTCACAGGATTGCTGGTGCGCCGATCAGGGGAACGGAATAGTTTGTGTCAAACGGAGGTGCAATCTGAGATGTGTTGAACGGTGTCACAATTCGCCTGTACAATAGTACTATCACATGTCTTAGCACTCGAGCCCGCATTTACTCTGCGACTCGAGGCCTCATGGTTAGCCCTCTCCTCGTACAGCAAGTTAGTCGGTTCAACGCACGTAGCGGGGCTTGTGGCGCGATAAACGCTCTGTCTTTCTGTCAACTGAACGGACAACGTAGGTCCCTGTATGCTTGTCAAGGCCGTTGGCCTCATTACTACCTCCTGTTTCATGAACTATCGCGGAACTCCTGGTCCGGCCAGCTATTGATCGAGGTCCTTTGTGACGACCGTCGTGATGCTGGGAATCAAATGTGCCGGCGGTTTCACGTTATAACTTCTAATCAACAGCAGTAGCACTACCCCTTTTCCCATGGAGAAGAAGGTATCATACTCTGCTCGAGCATCCCAGGGTAAAATCTGGACTAGAGCCTGTCCGAGCTTAAATATGAGGCTGACTCAACCATTGCTTGGTCTGCGCATCCAGATATTCTTTCTCAGCTTCGTACCACTCTCTCCTGACCAGTGCCGCCCTATCTGGCGACCTGGGAGTTATTTTTGCCTGGAACTCCTCCGGCATACATACAAACCCTTGTGTAAGCTTTTCCTGATCCGGGAGGAACTTATTGCCTTTCTCATCTACAATTGGCTTGATGTTGAACGCCCACAGGATGCGGGACACCCCAAGGAGCAAGCTGCGCTCCGCGACGTGCATGCCAGGACAGATGCGTCGGCCGGCGCCGAAGGTGAACACGCCTCGCTTAGTGGCATCGGCGTTTGTAGCCGAGTCGAAAAGACTTTGTGTGTCGTGGATGTAGCGCTCCGGGTCGAAGGTGCGGGGATTGGGATGACGTTTCGGATCCATATGAATTGCCCAGACATTATTCATCACCCCGGCGCCCTTAGGGATCAGGTAGCCCATGTACTCATCATCTTTAGTCACTGCATGTGGCACCGCTCCCAGAATGGTGGTCGGCATCCAACGAAGCGTCTCTTTGATACAGGCACGGACGGACTGCAGATTAGATTCGTCATCCATGGTCGGCAGCCGGTCGCCGACCGCGTTGTCGATGTCTGCCTGGACCTTCTTCTGCGCGTTTGGATATAGCAGCATGGCTTGCACGAACGCATATAGCGTACTCGAGGTTGTGTCTGAGCCAGCTTCGAGAAGTGTGCCGGAAATATATGCGGCTTGGTCGTCGCTGAAGCCTTCTGCCTTCTGAGCTTCGGCCATACCCACGCAGAAGCACGGCTTGATGTTCCCGCTCTCAATGTCAGCCTTCGCATTTAGCCAGTGTTTGAGGTACAACGCTTTTTCGTGTTTGTGGAGTGTTTTCGCCTTCTTCTGTGCCGGAAGCAGAAAGTCAGGCATCTTCCGCAGGAGAGGGTAGAAATCGATCAACGCGGCCGTCCCTGTCTGATTAATCTCCGCAAACTCAGAGAATCCGTCGAAGAGTTGCTTCATGTTCGCATCCTCGTATGTAGGCGTCCTCCAGCCAAAGACCATAGTGGTCGTCAAGGCATTTGAATACCTCCGGATATGCTTGAGAAAGTCACCGGGCTGCTCCAGAAGTTGGTACAACATCTGTTTGTTCTCGAGCATTTGATATGGGATGTACGATTTTGATGTATTGACATTGAGAAGTCCATGAATCATCTTGCGGAACTGAAACGATAGCCCCGAGTTAGTAAAACAGGATTCCTGTACGGGTTTTCCTACGACTCACCCCTCTCCATGTAGGACCATATCTCTTGACCAAACAGTTAGCATCAAAAAATCATGAAGAAGGCACATTCAGCCTTACCATCATAAGAAGCCTCAGATCTCCACTGCACAAGGTTTGGCCGATGTACATATCTTGTCTGTCCGAGTAAATCCCACTCCTCCGATCAAGAAGTTCCTTCACGGCCTCGTCGCTGGATAGTACAATCAACACCTTGGTACCAAGTATCAGGCTGTAGACCGGGCCATATTCTCGTGCCCATTTCTCGAACTGTAGGTGAGCGTCCCTTTTTGGCATCTAGTTGAAGCAAATTTCAATCAGTTGATATGCATTTCCTAACGGCGAAAGGTGGCCGTACCAGATGAAGATTTCCCAGAATTGGCAACGTAGGTGGTCCCGGTGGGTAGGCTTTTGGTCTCTGCCCTATCGATAGTAGACGCTGGAGGCCCACCAAAAGAGCTATGAGAGCTAGAAAAAAGTACAAGCCTGCCATCGTTGGCCCTTTGAAAATTGTGGAAATCTTCGATGTGACGGAAGGAAGTCGTTTATTCAATTTAATCAGTTTGACTGTCGCTCGAGCGTTTACTCTATCCTTTTGACTTACGAAGCTTCATATTGGTAATCGGGATTCCGCCAATGGTGACCATGTAGCCGGAATCAGATCTTGAAGTGCGGAGGTGGGATGAAACGCGCCCACTTTGCCATGGAGAGGCGGGGGTGGGATGCTCTTGGATGCGGCCCCTTGTAACAAATTGTCATCTCCACGCCTCGACTGTGAGATAGATCTGCAGGAATATGCCTGGATGTGCAGGGCCTCTGCAACTTCCTCTCTCTTGGACAACATGGGAGAGAAGATTGATTGTATCTGTCTTAGCGAAGTGCAAGACAAGAGGCGTCGAAGAGGTTATTATAGCGGCATGAAGAGAATGTATGCGCTAACCAAACTTATCTGCCGGAAGCCTGGTTGCTTCTGACCACACCCAGGCCGAAGAGGAACAGGATAGGGTTCGCCATTTGATTACATAGAAATTTCATCGGATTGTGCTCAGAACTCCTCGCCTTCGATTTATCCAAAATCAACTCCTTCGATATGTCCGAATTCGACGTCTTCGGCCTTGGATTAACAAATTCCTCTTGAAAGATCTCTCGAGGTGTTGTGGCATCATTCTTGTTCTTCGCCTGTACTACGATGACACTGCAATTCAATGAGTCAGACTTCTCATCCTTCATGCCAGAGTACACAGGAAACAACAGACCGTATATTTGCTGGTCCTAAGACAGCTGCATCGCAGCGCTTCGACGTAACAGGTCGTAGCGTACTGCCGGAATGACCTCGAGGGGAAGTTGCGTATAGGCTGGTACAAAATGAGTAACGTTCATTCCGGCTTCATGTATTCGCTTCGGTATCTCTCAAATTAAATCGTGTTGATCTCCAGCATACAATGCCATGAGAAAGTCGGATACCGTGAAGGTCAGAGCAAATGCTGAAGCCAGCCTCGATATCCTTGAATATTCCACCCAAGGGAAGGAGCGTCAGTGCCTCTGAGCCGGTGTCGTTCATAGCGATTATGCCGCAGACTGTTCCGTCACTTCCAAGTGCAGGTATTAGCCTGAGTAACATGCGAATCTGAAGAAAATTTAAATCTCAAGTGTTAAAAACGAGAGTCAATGCTTACTTCGTGAAAGTTAACACCAAAGGGCCCGTGACCGTAAGCATGCTGTTGGACGATAGCGCTGAGCAAATACTAGCCAATCATTTGCAACAGACTAGGATATATTGCAACACTCGCTCAATAGCCTATATCACCATTGACAGGCAGCAATGGTGACGTACGCTCGTTAGATAGATATATAGATGGGCTCTATCCTCCATTCATGAGGAGAGCCAGAGCACTCTTTCAATCCACGAAGTTCAACACATGCTTTTGAGCGAGCTTAGGGTAACCCTGCATACTGATCTGTCGAACAACGAGCAGTGGCCCTTACTGGGAAAAGGGTTGTCATCCCTATGCAGGATATAGGAGAAGAAAAAGGGGCCAACCAAGCATGTATTTATAATTGGTAATCTAGCAGGACCAGTTGCCAAAGAGGCAGGACATTCAATACATCTCATTTGCACCGCCCATGATCCAGCTGCGCACACTTGTGACATGTAGCGACGCCAAGGCTTGTAAAGACCCTCGGAAGCGTTGTACGCTTTTGTACGCGTTTCGAAAGTATATAGTCTGACGGTCCCTTGGACAATGCGTTTAACGGCCAAAGGTATTGGCAAGTTAGCGTGTAACCCCGCCCTTGCTAGCCTATTGCCGAGAAATTATCATGTTGAGCCCCTCCATGGTCCTTAAATAACAACTATGTCTCCCAGCCGGCTCGGTTTGACCATGGTGGCTGCAAATCGGATATCCTTCTATTCTATTTCCTCAGCACCCAATGTATAGCGCCTTCTCTGTGTCTGACCTCTCATCGTCCTCAGATCCTACCCTACTGAATCGACTCCGGGCATGTGATAGTTGTCGACGGCTCAAAATCAAGGTAGGCTCGCCTACTTTTTCTTGTTCATTATCTTGTCTTAACCTCTACTTGCAGTGTCGAAATGTGACAATCAATTCAGCAAACGCTGATGACCCTTGTGATTCATGTCGCCGCCGAGGTTCGAAATGCAAGTACAACGAAAGGCGCCCTAAGCGTGGTCGACGTCGGAAAGTGTAAGCACGAGGATCGGTGCCACCTACGAGACGTACCATTCACTAAGCGACGACATAGTGAGGCTCTAGAGGCAGATTTGCCATACGCAGAGAGGCTGGTCAATTTTTACTCCGCACCTGTCTCAGGACTACGGCGTGCACCAGCTAATTGTTCCAAGCCCTCTGCTGACCTTTCCGAAGCCTCGGAAGCCTTTGACGTCATTCCAGGTCCTGGAGGCCAGGTCCTATTCCCGGAACATTTTGATGAACAGATTCACGATATCTTGGAGCCAGGTGATACTCGTCTGGCTTCGGCTACGAGCTTGCCCCAGGAAAATAGCTTGTCTTATCCCGAAACCATGAACTACTGGCAAACTCCCGAGGGTGATTTTGCATTCGTTGCAGGTTACGAAAGACCCGCATCAGGACATGAAAACGTTTCAGATAACTTTCCATTTGTGTTAAATGATCGATTGTCGCCCACTAGTGAGTTGCTATCGCCAACAGAGGGAATGACCTCAAGTAGTGGGTCATGGGGGGGAAGCGAGATCTGGGATAGCGTGCAGCAGTTTTTTGACACAATGTACTTTGTGTTACCTGTCTTGTCATACCAGCGTCTACTTTCCCGCCTCATCACGGAACCTATCTGGACTTCTAATCCAGATTTTCGTACCTTACTTCTCTCGATCCGAATGTTGAATACTGCGAGTGAATTCCGGATGGGCTTGAAACAGAGCACACCTCTCTTTGATCTCATACACCAAGTTGAGAGATCTCGTCTTTGCTATGAATTTGCTGAACCGCCAACACTCGATGCAGCAGTGGTTTCGCTGTTCCTGTTCACGGCATATAATGTGCTGGAAAAACACACTCGTGCGTTCATGTATCTGGATGAAGCATTCTCTCTTCTGGACGCGGTGGAACTTGTCGGTGAAGAGGAGGAGCGTCGAAAGCGGCAAATCGAACAAGTTTTGTTTAATACGGAGGCTGCTTCACTTGCGATATATGGTGGAAAAAGGATGAAGCGTAGAGCCCGCAGACCATTGATGATCCTGGACGAACGACCGACAGTATCGGACAAGACCGAGCACAATGCGGAAATCGATAGAGTGGCAACGGACTTGCTCAGACGTCTCACTCAAATACACCTCGCAGATGACGCAGACGCATTGCAGATGACGGACATTGAGTCGGAGGCTGATATCCGGGCGCTCTTCGGGGCAGTATTCCAACGACATCGATATTCCCGGATTCAGGCTGCTGATGTTGTCATCACTCGACAGTGGCAACTTTCGTCCAAGCTAGCGGGGAGTCTCAGAAATGGGATGAGTGGCCCAAAACTAAATGAGACACAAGTTGAACAACTGGGTATGGCGGCTATGGCATGGATTTGCTTGCTCGAAGAAGGTGAGCTGCGCATTGTGGGCTTGGGCAAACTGTCTGCGCTGGTTCAAAATATCTTCACGTTGGTCGGTCATGGCAAATGTCGATATGTTCTTGGTGGCCTCGTGGGTGCCGTGCTCAAGGAAGACTACGAGAGAAATTTTGCACATGCGCTCGTACATGTCAGCATGTCTCTGGCGCCGACAGGACCTTCTCCGATTCCGCCGCTGTGGGACAACGAAAATGGGGACCGAGACTCTCGAGTATGCGCTACTGTCCCTGCTGAAGATGGTGACTCTCAAAGCGCAAAGATCTTGCATGCTTTCACCACGACCGGGGAGTCTTCAACGCGAGAAGAAATACCCCCAACAATTGGACTCATGGAAGAAGAGCAACTCGAAGACTTGAACCCTGGAAACATTGACTGGCTGCTCGATCTATCCTAAAGAGGCTACCTCAGATGGCTTGCGCCTTGGCCTTCGGGGCCCTGTGGTCAGTCACGCAGAACGACTCTCGAACACTGCGGCGAACAGATCCACCTGCCTTTCTAGCCATGCCTTTGTGACCTCTGCATTCACCGCAAAGGTAAACCCGTGCGGTACACCAGGGAGAATATCTTCGGTGACTTCAACACCAAACGATCGGAGAAGTTGTGCGTATGCGAGGCCTTGGGCCATCAGGTAGTCGCACGCGGCAACAGTAATATGTGTCGCGGGGTGCTGCGGATTGGGATGCGCCATTAGAGGAGAAATGAGAGGATGACAGATATCGGACGAGTTCGCGGTATACAGTTCTGAAGTGGATCAGGACGACTCTTCGAACGTACTTAGCTAGGAACTTACTTACCGTACAGCTTCTCGAACTCTTTGACAGTAGCCTCTGGTGCTGGCGATATACCAGTAATGGCTTCCTCGCTCTGGCTCTTCTTAACGACCCGTTGTTCCTCAAACAGCGCTTGTGCTTTCGGATGGGCAGTAACAGGTACAACGAGGCTCACCAATCGCAAGGGACGATCTTCTGTCAAGGGCCGCGTTTGTGACAGTTTTAGAGCAACAGCAGCCGCAAGGTTTCCTCCCGCCGAAGCGCCCCACAGAGCTATTCGGTCAGTGTCGATCCCGTAATCTGGCGCCTTTTGAATCACCTGGGCCAATGTCACTAACTGTCAAACCAATTCGGTATCCCCGTATGCGAAGTATATTTACCCATTCTAACGCCTGACAGCAATCATCCAAGGGAGCTGGAAAAGGATATTCCGGGGCCAGTCTGTAGTCGACGCTGAACACCACGGCACAGAGTTCGGACGCGAATATCGTCGAAATGTCTGCGCATTCGGTTAGAAGGAGCGGAACACCGAGACCAAGAAGGCACCAACTTTCATCGCCCAAGGGATTCCCGTGAATCCAACCGCCCCCGTGGAACATCAAGACGGCAGGCCTTGAATGTATCTTTGATTCCCTTTCTACAAGACGAGGATTGTACACGCGTATGCCGAAACTCTCTCGGCTAGTGCCCGAACAGAGTACTGAGACATCTTGTACATCGACTTTTGTTATGGGCCGTCGGCGTTTGATATTGATTCTAGCCCTGTATTCTGCAAGGGGCCCTCGCAGGAAAACCTCATCAATCCAACGTCGCATCAATCGCACATCCGTTCCATTTGGGATTTTTGTGAAATTGACAGGAAGCCTTGCTATCTCCTGTAACGCATTGTGAATCAGTTGCAAGCTATCTTTCAGGGGTTTGATCGGCTCCTGAGAGCCGTACCTGCAAGAAATTTATGTCAGGGATTTCAAATTCATGCGTGGCATTAGGATTCATGCCAACTGCTTTGCAGAAAATTTGCGCTTCCAGAGGGTCAAGAGGATGATGTTGGTCGTTCGTAGTGACCACCCTGCCCGCATTGGGCGACTCCTGAACGGCAACAGAAGCCATTTCTTTGACGATTTTTGTCAAGAGTGCAAAATAGGTCACCGGGAGGAAACTGCATCATTCAGTGTTGGTCATGCTCATAACCTAATTCTCCGGTCCATTGTTCGTCAGCACCAAATGCGTTTTGGAGCTCATTTCGCTCATTTTGGTAATTCCCCAGGCAGTTAGCGCGATCGCCGGATTCGTCAATGACGCCGCGACAGTTCGACGTTTCTCGACTCCCATCCCCGCAGAGTCTTTCCGAACGACTCAACTCATTCCGTAGTTGGATTTCCCCGGACGTGGAGATGGCCTAGAGGAAATTTGATGGGTCAAAAGAGACCAATATATTTTACGTTCTAAGTCCAGTCTACAGACGTTGCTTCTTGATAATTTCATTGAGCAGAACGTCCCTTGCAACAACATGGCAGTTTCCACTTCGAAGGACAAGGAATCCACACACGAGGAATATGTTCCCGAGGTCTTGCGAGCCCAGGAAGTGGTGGACCACAACATCCACCATCCGGTCGGATGGTGGAATTGGCGAGTACTTATGAACAGTGAGTCAATCCTAGTTTCCCTGTCCATTGTCGAATCATTACGCGATTCTTATATCAAAATAAGTCCGACTTACATTCCAGCAGTGGTAATAGTCGGCCTCTCGATGGGACTCTATGGCTACGATAATAACTTTGTCGCTCCACTTCTCTCGTTGCCTTTGTTCATTTTGAAGTATCAGGGCGGCGGTTTAGCGTTCACGGTAAGTTGGACCTTGGGCATGACCTCCTTAGTGTACTTTGGAAAAGCTAATACCGGTGCTTTCGTCACATAGGCCAGAAACCTCGATGTAATAGTGACGGTGCCCCTTGTCGGCGCAGCTATCGGTACCTTTATGGGGGCGCCTCTCATGAAATACATTGGTCGTAAGAAAACATTCCTCACGGCCTACTTCCTCCTTTGCACCCCGGGTTCACTTCTGCAGCTTTTTGCGCCAAATCTTGGGGCCTTGGTCGTGGGCCGGCTTTGGAATTGTAAGTACACACCACTTCATGTCGCATATCATTCCCAATGCGTCCTAAGCGGACACTAGATCTCGGAGTCAGCGTCCTCACCACGACGGCTCCGTTGTACCTCTCCGAACTGGTTCCGACCCATATCCGTGGTAGAGCGGTTGGATTTTGCATCGCCGGAGTGGCTGTGGTGGCCATTTTCGCAACCACTATTGTCTGGGGAACCGAAAAGATAAACGATGAGCGTCAGTACAAGGTTCCACTCGCCATCCAAGCGGCATGCCCTGTCGCATTTGGTTGTCTTACGCTTTTATGCTCAGAGTCACCCGTCTGGTATGCTCAACATGACCGGTTGGATCGTGCGCGTCTCACGCTCATGGCTCTTCGAAATAATATGACGGAGATTGTTGACGCGGAGCTCTCTATGCATCAAGTCGCTGTTACCGCGGAAGCCGAACGTCGGAGACAGACAAGATTTTGGGATATCTTGCACTCCGCGCACCTGAAACGAACAATCACAGCAGGAGCGCTACTTAGCTCGAGTCAAGTCGGCGGACAGATTCTGGTTGGGACTTACTCCACTGTCATCCTCGTACAAAGCGGGGTTGCGAACCCTTTCCAGATCACCATCATCATCACTTGCTTGCAATGCCTTGGGACAATCATCGGGCCCACACTCGTGGACAAAGCCGGCAGGAGACCAGTGGCCATCACAGGTTTCTCAATACTCTTTCTCCTCAATATGACGGCTGGAGGGTTAGCTGCAGCAGGTCTGACGACAAAAAGTCAGAGATTGGGTCTTGCGGCCGTGTTCATCACATTTGCCTTCTTTAACGCTGCCTCGTTCCTATCGCTGTAAGTGAGCGAGAATTATCCTACTGTACAGCCACCCAGCCAGCGTCTCCACATGCTGACTATACATCAGAGCATTTGTACTGCCGACCGAAATTGCCACGACATCGCTAAGAGAGCCAACCATGGCCTGGTCATTATTCTGGTCCTACGTGACGGCTGTCATCACGACGTTCGCAGTTCCGCAGATCACGGCCGCGGATGCCGGTAACCTAGGCGCCAAAGCGGCTTTCATTTTTGGTGGCTGTGTCTTCATCACCTTGGTCTGGGCATACTTTTACATTCCGGAGACAAAGGCGAGGACAATAGCAGAGGTCGATGAAATGTATGCCATCAACTTGCCGATGCGGCGTTGGAGGAATTATCAATGTCAGGCTGTGATCAACACGGCAATTGAGGTGCAAAGGCATGGGAGTATAGATGGGGAAGATGCTTAGGCTGGCTTCTGGGTGACTTGTCATGAAGCGACCGTCGGAGAACCTCATGGATGAAATTGAGATCGATGGAAACTGTCGAAGAAGCAATAACTAAATGGGCCGAAACCATCAACCGGCTAGATAATTGTAGCGGTTAAGAAAGCAGGTAGCCAACAAATCCACCTGTAACGTGGGTATAACAGAGAGGAATCACGTGTACACAAGAATAGGGGGTGGAATGGCAAGGACTGAAGCCTTGTTCTCTATCTTAGGTCTTTGGTTTCGTCCTTATATCTTGTTTCCGTCTCTCCAGCCATTCTGCATTCTGCGGTTGTCAAACTTGTGGTACAACTTGAGTTGAAGGAGTGCTCTGTTCTCCATCAAGTTGAGGTCCTGCCTCGCATGTTTATATAGACAAAGATTGTCGCCATCTTTCGGTGTCTCCGTGTTCAGCTCGTAGACGAAACTCTTGTCTAGCTGAACATTCATTGCCACGCTGAAAACGTTGCCACATATTGTCTCACAGTTCAACAGTAGGAATATTCTTCATACTATTCCTGGTGCCAGAGTAAGTGGGTTTGAGGTAATAATGCCGAAGGATATTATTAAGAGAATCAGTTCTGTGGGGTATCATATCGAGAATGTCACTCTTCTTCGAGCTGTTATTCCTAAGTGGACTTAGTGTAAGAAGTATGGTAGTGATATTGTTCAGGTGATTCAGGATAGAGCGCGACGGAGGGATTTACATCAAGCAGATCAGACAAGGGACTAATAGCGCCATCGGACCAGAATCGAGCTTCAACATCAAAATCTATTGCCAGTCAGCAAGGTGGCAATACTCGTCCGGTTGGGCGACCAAAAAAGAGTGTTACAACTCTGTCAACAGCTCGATCGACTACCACAAACACCTTCACGATTGCGAATATCACAGACGATTGGCATTGAAACAGAATCATCAAAGTTCGATATCCGTGTCTCAAGAACCGTTGGCTGTACTGGGAACACGTTTAGCCCTGGCGCAATTAAACGATTCAACGATATTTGTTGTGATATGAGGCCTGACTGACAAATAGATCATGGAAACGTTCCGGTGCTTTGAAATCAGATAAATGTTCTGGGAAGAGGATTCGAAGTATATATATCTCTTCTTCGTCCTCATAGATAAAGGTTGAATATTACATGCTTCCACTGCTTGAAATTCACATTGACTCAACCCTCTGTGCTGGCAGAGGAGACTCAGCCATCAAGCCCTCAGGGTGATTCCAGGATTCTCACACAGCCAGCTAAAACAAAACGAAAGAGAGCCATCAAACCCACCGCACACTCAACATTGACAGCTGCTATGTTCAAGTAGTTTACCTGGACGGCCCACCCACCGGGAGCCATTTCACAGATCCAAATATACTGGATCTGTGAAATGGATTATAGCTCGCGCGATTTTCCATCTATATCGCTATACTGGCGATATAGGACTTGAGGCGAAAATACCAAAAGAAAGGGCCCCCTCCTAAGGTCCATCTCTGACGAAACTCATAGATGGGGCGCCGCAGCCAGTGAAAGCTTCAGCCACACAAGTTCAACTGTAGAAGAGTTTGAATCAGTGACCCTCCCAACGGTATGAACAAGACGACATCATCAACAATCACTGGCTGGAGCATTACGTTTACCCATCTAGGGCACCTAGAAAGCTCAATGGAGTCTAGGCCGGACAACCCTCTTACCTTCACCTATGATTAAACACTAGTGAGGCCCCTCAATTCTATCGGTTCGACTACAACTCGAGTGTTTTACCGCTCGGTTACGTCCTTGATAGGTCAACCACGATTTGGTGTCAATTTTGAAGCAGTTTCTGGCGGAATAAAATATAAACTTGAATTTTTTATTTTTTTAATTTTGGAATCGCCCGGTTAGGGCTTGGCGTTGTGCGGCGACGCCAAGAGCGACGAGCCGGCCAATCACGTAACTATTTTCCGGGATCACGTGCTCCCCCGGTGTCTATGTGGCGGGTGGGCACCCTACTCGATAGATATCGATATGCTCGATATCGAGATGATCCAGGCATTGGATCCAGTCTGTGGACCACCTCAGACAAGCTCTACTAGTCACACTCGAGATGGTTCGTAACTGAGCGTTCACGGACAAGCTGTCACGGGACCATATGCCAAGGATTACATAATCAGAGGTTCTTCAAGCACTTCCTGCGTAGCATCCCATTTTGACTCTCTTCGTGCTACGTCTTGTACCTAGAACCCGATGTTAGCTAGAATACATTGTTTGTATCCTTGACCTCGAACCCTCACACAAGCCTCGATGTCGACGTGGTCCATGGATTGGATCCGATGGGTCATGGTATTTCATCGGATCCAATCTGTGGACCACCTAAGACGAGCTCTTACTGATCACACTCAAGATGGCCCGTAACGGGGCGTTAACGGATGAGCCTCGATATCGAGATGATCCATGGATTGGATCCGATGAAAGATCACTGCCATTGGATCCAGTCTGTGGACCACCCAAGTCCTTACTGATCACACTCGAGATGTGTGAGGGTTCGGGGTCAAGGATACAGTCAATGTATTCTAGCTAGCATCGAGTTCTAGGTACAAGACGTAGCACGAAGAGAGTCAAGATGGGATGCTACGCAGGAAGTGTTGAACAACCCCTAATTACGTAATCCTTGGCATATGGTCCCGTGACACCTGCGTAGTATACAGTTCAACGCAGGTTGCAGGGAAATTTCCCGCCAAATTTGGCGACCTGTACCGCCGCTTTTGGAGGCATTCATCTGTTGATGCCAAGATCGCTGCCTCTATTCCCATTCCACATTCGGCCCCCCACACTGGGTTGTCTCTCACATTTCCTCACCTTCCCCATGCACTATCGCTGGGGACCAGAAACAGTCCCCTTCAGAAACAGTAAGGGATCCGTCCAACGACGGGTGCCTTTAACTGCACCAACACCATGTTCTCGGCTATCCCTCATTTGAATGTCTAGTGATGATGCAACACAGCACGCTAAAGACAAACCCATTGGCTGAAGAGTGTTACAGTACTAACGAGTCCAACCTTAAAAGACAGTAGGTGATCTCACAGCATTTACAGGTTTTCAGTTCAGGTTCACTGGGACCGACTTGACTTGTGCCCAGGCACCCAATCGAGTGCCTGGAAACATCTTTGTACAGGATGGCAATTGTGAAATGGTGTCCTGGGAGCAATGAAAGCTCCCAGGCACAACAAAGGTATTCCCATGGCACTCCAGGGTAGCACGATAAAAATGTGGGATAAACCCACTGTGTTATGACCCAAGAAAGCGATTTAATTCATCAAGAGTAAACAGAAATTCCTTTTTCCCTTTTGTCAACATCTTTTCTGTGGGATTTCCCTTTTTTTTGTGCTGTCTGAAGAGTCCCCAGGCTCCAGGAAGCCAATTCATTCACGAAGTGCCAATGGAACCTTTCCTCCCTCTGGTTCATGCGTCTGTCAAGCCATTCAAGCAGCTGCCAGACCACTGGATAAAAGGAAGATACCTGATGCCGAGTTCCGTTCGCTAAAAAGAGCATTGTGGTAATCGCTAGTGGTAGGCTGACTAGTCTCGGGAATTGGCGATGTGGGTTGGTGGGCGCAATTCAGCTCCATTTGCGAGGAGTAATTTCTCCATCCGACGCAAATATTTCTTCTTGTAGTATGAAGATAAGCGCCGATAGGTGATTTGGTCTTCTCTTATCTTGACTTGGTCAAAGTACCAGTCAATTTTTTCCTCAAGCTTGACCATGCCTGCCTGCAAGGCTTCAGCTTTCTCCTCAATAGATCTGGAATGCAAGCTTTCACCACGATAAATTATATCGGACGGATGAGAAATATCGCATTGCCGTGGTTGAGCGCCGTTTTCGTGAAGTGTGTTCTGAAATACCGGAAAGACAAACTCCTGATAGAACAAATCCATGGCGTCAGTCTCTTCATCTTTTCTCCTCTCCATCTCGACGATGTCGTCTGTACATGCTATCGCCACCCCATTTGCCACGGCCTCTAGCACTTGTGCCTTTTGTTCAACCGACCCGAAATACCACGTACGCCCAATGCCGTGGAATGTTACTGTATCAGTGACGCCGGACGTGTTATCGTTCTCCTGAGGAGCTTGAGTCGATGCTGCAGTCATTGAGACAGGTGACCGTGGCTTCTCATCTGCTCGCTCATGTCGTATTTGCTCATGGCCATAAGTGTCACTTGCCATCTCGCTACTCCCGACAACGATTGCATGTGTAGTCCGGTGTCTGGTTACTCTGGTGTCGCAATTTTCCATGGCTTCTAGAAAGGGGCTGTCTCTTGAAGGTAGATAGGTTTCGTCCTGCTCCGAGCCTCCGGAAGGTGTAACTCTTGGGTTCGATGACTCTCCAGTAACCTCAATCAAGTCTGACAGCAAGTCTTGCGTCAGCGTCACAGTATAGTCATCAAATTGAGAGCATACCATCAATAAATGATCCATCGTCTTCCTCCATCGGGTGGTCCGGTCGTATCCGCCGGCCATGACTCCGTCTAGTTCGCCGCATTAGGCGTCTAGAGTTGTCGGTGTCGTTTCTGTGCTGAATCTGGAGCAGCCGGACGACTGACTCCAGAATCTTCTCTTGGCTGACGCCTTGAACGGCCGAGAAATGGTTTCCGCCTTCCTGATCGATAAAAGTTTGTGCAAGAGGGCGAAAAGTTTGTCGGGAGCCGTCTTTTGGAGATTGTGATCGATAGAAGGCTCGAATGTCTTCGCCTAGCCGCTTCACTGCTTTCGGCGACTTTATGCCTATGCTCTCAGAGCAACCTTTTATCGAACGGATGCGTTTCATACGGATACGAGCCGTACGTGAAACTGACGGAGGAGCATAAAAATATGATCTACTTCAAGGAGCAGAGATTTTGAAGGAGGAGAAGAGCAAAAAGGAGGGAGATTTCAGGGGGATTGTTTTCACGATGCACTCTTTGGCGCTTGTACTGTGCCAAGAGGCAGGGGGTGCTAGGGCTACCCCGGCACTGAGCACATGTAACTGCCAAGGACTAGTAGCCCAACAGTCTAGATCGGATCGCAGGGAGCTCTAGTCATGAAATCCTTTGGTCCTCCATAAGCGGTACTATACGGTGATGAATGCACTGAATCGTATCAACTCAGGCGACGCGAGTGAATCCCAAACTTCATGATAGTCGAGCCCACGTTGGCCTACGTTCGTCCCAACATCCGAACCCGGCAAGGTAATGAATTATGTTGGACAATAGCACTGAACAAATGCTAACCAATCATTTATGACAAACTAGGATATTTTGCAACACTCACTCAATAGATTGTATCACCATTAACAGGCAGCAATGGTGACATACACTCATTAGATAGATATATAGATGGGCTTTACCCTACACTCATGAGGAGAGCCAGAGCATTCTTTCAATCCACGAAGTTCAACAAATTACCGTACAGCAGATCGCAGCAGAACGCAGGTTGGCTTGATTTTCCGATCAATCAAATGGATATCACGTTTACCGTACCTAGATTATGCCCACGCTGTACAACCCTATTGTGCCGCCGCGATAACTGCACGCTTGGTCCTATACCGGCTTCAATGTCTACGTTCCGAAGAGTCCTCTTTGGCCAGCCGCGGCCGCCTCCGCACTCGAACAACCAAAACCTCCGAGAAGAATATGTGATTCTCATCAGGCTCGAGACGATACTCATTGTACTTATTCTTATTACACCTCTATTCAAATTACAATATCTCATCTCGCACATGTACACCTCGATATCAATATCTGAACCTAAAGTGCGTTCTGACAATGACCTAGAAATGACCGGTCTAACTCTTGAACCATTCCACATCTGAATAATCTGGACTGAATCTATAACAATCTCTATCGACAGCCCATGTAAAGATGCGGAGGATGTGAGGTGAGATGTATCTATATCTTCTGGAGATGTATGGTCCACCCCTTCCATCGACGCTTGACCAGGAGTTGGTCTTTTCTCTTGATCGAGTAGTATAGGTTTGCTGTGGCCGCTGTCACCGTCGGAAAGCGAGGAGCCTGATGAGGATTCCATAGTGTCTTTGTATGTCAGCGTCTCGTTGAACATAATATGTGGTGTGTGAAGGATTGTGAGGCTGTCGAGGAGCCAAATCCGGTAATTGGTGGTGCTGTCATCTTGCATACCTACAAGATAGCCTCGAAGCGTACGAGCGGTGGATTTCTCCGACTTGACGAGCTGATAAGGAGGTTTGTGGTAGTAGACTACGCATCCGAATCGTCGTAGGTGGGAGAGGTCGACCGTTTCCTCTTCACGCTTGATTGCTTTCCAGAACATTTGGTAGGGCGTAGTTTGATGAGACTCTCGCGTAGCGGACCTGTTACCAATAGGAGAGAGCTTCGTTCCACAACGTCTGTGGGAGACCGCTGTCGAGCATCATAGCTCGTGCTTTGGTGAGCAAGACCTTATTAGAGGCCTCGGCGATGCCATTTTGCTCAGGCGTATAGGCGGCCGAATACTCGAGACGAATAGCTTCGCGATTGTAAAGCTCTTGAAGTGTCGTGGACTCCGAATTCTGTTCCTTGGTCGATGCGAACCACTTGGATACAGAATGGTCGACAATGAACTTTGGTCCATTGAACAAAGTTGACAGTAGTCTGATGTGCATCTCCTTTCACCACTAGAGGGAAAATCCAGCGATATCGAGAGTAGTCGTCCGTTATCACGACCACATAGTACTGGTCGGAGAATGATTCTGGCTGAATGCGACCGATAAGGTCGACGTGTACCTTTTCGAGAGGTCGCAGAGCACGTTGCTGAGGTGCCCGTGATACCTTTCGTGTTAATTTAGTAAGCTGACAAACTTCGCACGGTGGAAGTTGTTGAAAGGGTGCGTGTGGCAGTCTGTGTGTAGCTGTTTGGATATTTCACATGGTCGTGATGCTAGGATGTCCAAGCCGTAGATGCCATAGATCAGTCTGGTCAAGGCCTCTGCTCGTCACAGAAGAAGGCTGATCCAAGGGTATGGTAGCTGTAGTTCCGTTTGGAAGAGCTGTGAGAAAGGCGCTGCTATCCTTGTGCACTAACTGACGATCAGGGGAAGCTAGCACTCTAGTATGCGTGGAAGCTGTAGAATGTAGTGTCGCTAGCTGAAGGATGTTGAGGTCGTGGTGAATGGGTGCATAGCCAAAAGGGCGGTTGCTACTAACGTGTCGGAACGTGCAATCGAGATTGCTAAAGTAGACCCCTTTGGCGCGGAACTGGTTGCTGCTGAGAAGGTTGATCGGTAGATCAGACACATGCAGCACTCGTTGGAGTGTGATTAGCTGTACGCCTCCATCAGGCAGGCTAAGATCGAGGTTGATGGAACCTTGAGTCGTACTGTAAAGGTGATGAACGGTTTAGCACTTGAGTGCCTGTCATGCAGGGAGGATGTCGTCGCCAAAGCTTGTTGAGCAACCACACACCAAGCTCTAATTACAAGAAAAGTTCAAATACTCTCGCCATCTTTCTACCCACCCATGTTTGCTTGCCCCTTACATAATCCATGCACATAGCGCCCCGCTACAGTACATGTGTACGTCCCAGTGGCACCGTGAATGATGACCGGTGGTGTGATCGGCTGTGGATCGAGGAGTGGCTGCGTTGTAATGCAGCAATGCTCGTTGGCTTCGGAGTCGACGACCCAGCAGGTGTCATTCGTCGTGGCTGTAAGCATATGAATGGGAGAGACGGAGATCATGGTGGCTCGCGAGTCTGGCGCATTCCCATTAGTTGCCGTTTGAGGCGTAGTTGGCTTCTTTTCAGGATGCTGAATGAAGCATTCTTCGTCGGTATGGTTCGATCGAGGATGAATTTTGCAGGTGCCAATGTGCTTGGACTTATTGCTTTGTTGGCAGTCCACATTGGGACTAGTCTAGTCACGTGCACCGCACCCTTCGGTGCCCCTTTTTGTAGCTTGCACCCTCGCCCAGATAGATTCATTCAATCAATCTCCTCTCGGCTCAACAACAGGCTCTACTAATCACATTCGACATGCTTCGTAACCGAGCGTGAACGGACGAGCCTCGACGTCGAGATGGTCCATTGATTTGTGAAATATGCCAAGGCGCTAGTAACTGGGAATAAAAGCGGCCTTCGGCACGCCCTCACTTAGTTAGCTACGAATAAAATTCCACTCGTTATTTTACAGATTGGATCTGATGCTGGGGGTCTTTCATCGGATCCAGTTTGTGAACCACCTAATCGCACTCGAAATGTTTCGTAACCGAGCGTGAACGGCAAGCCTCGACGTCGAGATGATCCATGAATCCGACCCCACGACATTACCACCGCCATCGGATCCAATCCGTAGACCACCTAGCGCAATGTATATCATCTTGGGAGAAATGTGGGGCTATCCAAATATCCAAATGAGATCCAAATCTATTCAAATCAAATCAAATCAAATCAATCCTTTTCGAATCCAAATCAAATTAAATTCGAGGCTCGATTTGATTTAACTTATTTGTTTACAAGCCTACTCCGTTAGTCATCTATCTTAAGGGCCGCCATTTGTTCGGTCCTTTTCGTCCCATCAGCCCGCATTTTCCAAAAACTTCATCGGCCATTTGTTTGAATTCACGTCCAGTTTCCAATTTACCATGACTACGTCCCTTATTAACCTCGTGAAAAGCGTTCCACTGCTCAGTGGCAACGCCATTGACGTTTCCGCCTCGATCGGGCGTCGTCCCTTCTTTGTGCCTCTACGAGACGTACCACGACACTATGAAGGCACGACCGGCAAATGGACCAAAATAGGACATCCAGCAACTCTCATCAACAAGCCCGGACCGGTCCGGCAAGGCAATATCATCCGGAGTTTCGGTTGTTGTGTATAATATAAAGAAATCGTCTGGCCCAGCAGACTTATTCCTCTCCTCAGTGTACGTTTCGGCGTTCAACTTCTTTTTGACAAATTTACACCGTCCTACTTCGCGCACAATTTTTGCTCTGAGAATCCGTAGGCTGCGTCTGAATACTGAGGGAGAAATCGCCGGCCGACACGTTCGGAGCGTTGAGGATGACATGGAATAACTGCTTCTCCGCCAGAATGATACAAAAGATCAAGCCGGGAGACTTCCAAAACCTTCTGGCGCTGGACGCTGCACTGGCGAAGTGACACGAGGATCTGCCATTTTTCTTGAAAAGAGAAATTTACACAGCGGTCGGAGCGTCTAAGGAAGAGGCATATCGACCACCAGTAATGTTGCTGCATATTTTCAAGGCCCAAGCAAGAGCAATTGAAGCTCGGTTCGTTGCACTACACCGTCCAAGCAACGCTGAAGTTGATCGCGCCAGATACCTACACCTGAAAATTCTTTTGACTCGGCCAGTGTTCGTCTCCCTGTTATACAACATTGGAGCGAAGCTTCAGCCTCTGTCGCCTGCTCTTTCTCTACAAGCGAACCTTCAAGAATTGATGGTGCAAAAAATTAGTCGCCATTGCATAGTTGCTGCTCGCAGCCTAATAGCCACGATTTGTAATGATATCACTTCCACCAACGGAACAGATCCTGCATGGTGATATAATGTCTTTTGTGAGTTTGCTCTCCATGATGTTCGCATTGATAATGTCTTTGTCTAGCTGTATCAAATTAGATGCTCTAAACGGACACGAGCTGACTAGGGAAGACATATATGCAGCTGCCACTCTCTTTGCTGTCGAGAGGCTTTCTCCTTTATTTGAGCCAGATAGTCTGCCAGAATGGAAAGAGCACTGGGAAAGGTGTCTCAACAACCTCTATACTCACAGGGCCCAGAGCCGATCTGCTCGCAAATGCTAACACGCGCAGCTACATCTTCTCGTAAATTTGCATCCTCAACTGACGCCTTGGGGAAATCTGTTCAGCAGGTCACAGCTCCCGAGTTGACAGCGGACGTGGAGATCTCAAACCCCAATATCATCGAAGGATTATGTGCTCCTACCTATACGGCATTCGAAGTTAATGCAGCCGAGGTGCAAGACACATCCTGGCTAGAAAACACTCTCTTTGGTACCGATATGAACTTCGACTGCTCAATTAACGAATGGTTCGATGCGTGAGGTGAGTGACATGCCTATTACCTGCACATGTACTCTGCGAAAATTGAGTGACAATAGGGCATTGCGTGGCAGTGTGGTACACACGATCGACCACTATCTAGATCTTACGCAGTCCGAAAATACCTAACAAGACAGCGTCATCAATGTGGACGAGTTTGGATGTGCCAATCTGCTAATGAGGCCGTAGCCGGCAGTGCTGGGTGTTCATTGTAAAGCAAAAACATTGAGGAAGCTTCGACAAGTACACACCGTGTTAGGGAACCTTGAGCAAACCCCCATCGATCGTTTGAAAGAAGGCCTCGGCTGGCAAATCGAAACTCGGAACGGGCAACGTAGGATAGGTAATGGCGGAATAAATCGAGAAGTTCTGAACGTGGTACTCGAATTTCATATAAGCCCAAGTCCAAGACTGTATCAAGTCTGGGCGTGGACCTGTCAAACTGGGTACAACTTGAGATGTATTGTATGCTCTAAGCTCTTCCAACGAGTGTGAAATAGAGCTCATCTATATCTATTTACGCAGTGTACGCTGGCGTTGGTGCCTATTAATGGTGTTGCACGCCAGGAAGTGATGTTAGAGAATGAGTTGGTTTGCCATGAACGATTTGTTACTATTTGTTCAACAGTATATCTTACTTGTAGCAGATGGCCGTGCAGAATCAGATTTGATTCACGGAGAGGTGCGACTGTTATGTGTCATTTCTTGAGGAGATGCTTAAGTGTCTGCGAATGCTCGTCTTTGAGTTTGATCAAATCATAGATGGGCGATTGGGCCAGCCCTTTCCGCTGCGAAGAGAGGAGGAGACGAACAACGTCGGTGGTGGTGACTATGCTGGTTGCGGTCGAGATGATGCGATACGACACGAGTGCGAGAAGCGACGACTTAGTCTCCAGTGACAGGAATGGGGTCTCGCCAAATCCATCAAATGCAAGCTTTTCCGACTCACCGGATTGGGCGTGTAAAAGTCTTGACCTCAGACACGACCTCGTGCCGGTAACCACGGAAGCAAGGGACTCCACACTAGAGGGTGGGGCGTGGGACCTCGATGACATCATTGACCCGGTGTACGGTGTTGCTCGCTTGCTTGCTTACAAAGTGGCCTGGGTACAAGAGAAATCCGCGGCATTGTATCGGAAGCAATTTGCTGTTAAATGCAACCTTCATAAGGTGGATATCAATTCGGCAAAGTGTGGCTCCGGGAATGTCATTTGTGGTGTAGATTTTCCGGAAACCTTGGCACACAAGAACATCAATTCTGCTTCATATTGTTGATTTCGTTCCCATCACTAGTTGGATTCCTACGTATGTTGTGGAATGACATACACCATTGAGCAGCGCCCAGAGGCTTGCGCTGAGCAGTAAAATGGGTTCTACACCAGATCCTTCGAAAGGCCCAACAGTCAGGACTTTGATCCAAGGGAGCCCAACCATCCCGAGAAGTATTCAGCTCGACTGTGTTAGAGACTAGGGCGAGGCCAACTAGCACAAGATAATGGCCTAGATCACCCAAGAGTTTTGCGAGAGATGTAGACCTCAGAGTCGTACATGCATTTAGAGTGTTCGTAGAAGAGGGATGGATTCTATGACTATAGTTCATTCCAGAGAGGCTCAGATCTCCATCACGACACCTGCTTCTATCCTTGAGACGGCATTGAACCGCGCAGCCACCTATGCCCGGTCTCCGAGGATTGGCAATTATTCCCCACAACGATAGGTTGATACTAGGCCTAGATCCTAGTCTCGGACGCAGGACATTTGCAGATATTCGCGAGAAGAAGCCCCAAATGAAGATCGCCATGGGTCCCGATACAGGGGACAGTTGATAGACTGTGGAGTCTAGAGAAGGAATGTGTTGTTGTTTTTCTCTCTAAGAGAGAGCAAGGAAGGGCGCAAGTTGCCAAGCCAAACAGCCTCACGTGACGTTGCCAAGGCAACGCGTCACGTGACTGGCCAACAACAGTCAAATCGGCTGCTTTAGCCCGTCGATATCTTGAAGCGCACGGGATCTCTGTCAAGGATATCCTGATATGGGGAGGCGAAATCGTCTTTGCGAACCGCCCGGAAGAATGCTTACTTCCGTGCCACGATCTCAGCCGGGGTTTTAATGCTGTGCTCTAGGAAGCCTTGACGACTCCCTGGTGGAAGAATCAGCCGGAAGAACTTCCCGCCGTCGACTTTTCTGACTTCGTCGTCTTCTGTAGAGAGGACTTACCCGACGACGTGGCGTATCTGCTCCCGTGGATCATGGCAGAGACGAAGATCGTTCTCGAACGTCAATTCTATTCATTCCCGGGCCGATGGACCCCAAAAAGATGGCCAAGACAACTGTTCCATTGCATCCCGGTGCAGAAAGATTTTACCGCGAGAAGGGATATTTGTGAAGCAAGAGGCTAGCTAATCGCCTGTTCGGGTAGTAAACAGCCCGTGTACTTGGAAGCGTCTCTTCACTAGTCCCTGTTTGTGTGAGTACTCCGGGAATTTGTCGATGACATGTTTATACTCCTCGAAACCATCTTTCTAGAAATCAGCATCGCCCATTAACATCTCCGTCTCCCGTACATGTTCCTTGAGCCACGGTAACATGTACGCAAGGCTGCCCGTGATCGGAGTGCTTCGTATCGCACTTTCAAGGCTTCTCCAAAGACCTTCTGCAATGTGCGGACAATCCACGGGTTGGCCTCATACATAGGTCGCATAATAGCTACTACATGTATGATGGGCCACTGGTTTGAAATCAGTCAAGGGATAAGTACAATGCTGGCAACGATCGACGATCGAGGGCTTTGATGTCGAGAAGATGGCGTTAATTTCGCTATCTTCAGGCATCTGAGAAAGGTCTTTTCCCGGACCGACGGCGTACAAGTTGACGCCAGGAGGAAGCAAATGTGGAATTTTAACCTTGCGCTCCATGAGTGAGGGTTTTAGAGCGCCGGTTATGGACTCGTTCTCTGTGACTAGAACGCCGAAGTCTTCTTCCATTATGCCTCGTTGCCATGCAGCTGCAGTCACTGCGCAAGAGTTAGCACTCCAATGTAAAAGGAATCGTACGATACACCAATTTTGATATTCTGGTATGTCAATCCGCTTTCCTCTCAGATCTGGTGGATTTGCAATACCAGAATTCTTGTTGATGTACGTAAACTGATGTCTGAAGAAGCGCGACGGGAATATCGGCAGAGCAACGAAAGGCTGATGGTCTTGATTCAAGATAAGGACATATGATGAGATCTAGACTTCAGAGATGTCGAACTCCTAAAAAAGCAATTGCCGGAAGAATTTGCTATGTCATTAGCTACTAGAGGCAGAGACTACGATGGGCATGTGTCAAACTTCTCTTCATTGAAAGAATGCTCTGTCCCTCTTCGATTAGAGGGTGGCATTGAGCCTGTCTATATATCTATCTAACGAGTGTACGTCATCATTGCTTCCCGTCAATTGTAATACAGTCTGGTGAGTGAGTGTTGTAAAATAACCCGGTTAGTAGTGAACGATAGGCCATCAATTGTTCAACGGCATGGCCTACCTTTCTTCAATACGATAGTTCAGAACACCAAATCGATACCCTCTAGCATCTTCTAGCACTTTCATTGATCATAGCCCCAGCAAGCGAAGGGTAGTATGAGCTCCATGATGCTGGCTGAATACCATGAGAGGGTAGAGAATCTCGTTGTCTCAGCCCTATAGCTGTGGACTAGCTTTGACGGGTGGTATATACCTAGGAACTGTAGCTATACAACACGCCGATAGCAATTCGTGTTCTGGCGTGACAGCATGACTTGGACACCGCCAACAACGATCGTGGGTGCAGACAAGTTTCCCCGCATGTTCAAAGTTCCGGATCCGATCCCCGGGTTGCGAAAACATAAAAGGATATGAGGACCGCACAATCCCGATCCGCGGCATTTTACCAACTACGTCACTGCAGAAGCCATGTCGGACAACAGCGGAAAGGTATCTAACAAAAGGCGATTGGGATTCGGAAAAGCTTGTTTCACCTGTCGGAAGAAGAAGCATCGTTGTGACGGGAGGCGACCAAACTGCTTCGGCGGCGAAAATAGAGGGCTGCGATGCGAATATGCCGACGATGTGGCCCAACCTCTGCTAGGAGGGTGAGAACCGACTGCAGCTTTAACGTGAATACCAAGACTGATTACGTCTAGCATCGATAACGTCGCTCGTGCTCCCCGTCGACGAGGAGACCCAAGAGGCAGAACCCGAGATTTGTTGCCAGCCACTGAGGAAACCGAAGGATTCTTAGGAGGAGCAGTTGGTCAGAGATCGAGGAACATCGATGGGAGTGGTGAGAGTGTTCAGGTTCCATCGCCAGAGGAGGTAGCAGGCGCGTGTATCAAACGTGACATCTTTGTCTCATCCACAGCGAGCCTGGTCGAGTCCAATGGGTATTTGGGCGACTCCTCCACCCTGGGGTTTGTATCAAAGATCAGGCCCGAATTGCAACCGACCACGGATGGCACACATAGTATAGTGATGGTAAGCTAGATCTGCCCATCGCCATCGTCAACAGTGAGGATTGTTCACGAGATCCAGACTGTTACTCCGGAAGATTCAGCTGTCCCCCTAACGTCAATCTCTCCCTCTGTTTCTCAAGACGAGGGTTGCAGTCACTACGAATTACCGGCATGAGAGATCGCAAACGAATTGGTCGATGCGTACTTCGAACGGGTACATGTGCTCTACCCGTTCCTCCATGAAGGAAGCTTCCGAGCACATTACGAGCAGCTTTGGGTAGACCCAGACCTCTCGAAACCGAAAAAACCCTTCCTGGCTGGCCCTCGTGAACCTTGTCTTTGCGTACGGGTGCGAATTTTGCCTCGCAGGCGATATAGACGAGTTTGACAAACACTACTCGACTTTCATCGAACGTGCGAAAAGGATCATCCTGTCCTTGGTCTTCCGGAGTGCGGATCTCGCTCTCGTGCAAGCACTTCTTCTGCTGTGCCGTTATATGCAGGGTACCCTCGCGTTGAATGCGTGTTGGAATTTCAGTGGGCTGATGATACGTAATGCAATCAGTATCGGCCTCCATGTCGACCCAACGGATGATGGAACTATTTTGCCGGTGGAAAGGGAATCAAGAAAACGACTATGGTGGGGATGCCTAGTTCTCGATCGTACATTGTGTATGAAACTGGGCCGCCCGCCTTCGATCCGCGAAACTGATGCTCATGGAGTTGATCTACCCTTGGAAGTGGACGACCAATACATCATTGACACTTCTTTGGTGCCACGGCAACCCTTGGGACGGCCTTCCCGAATGTCCTTCTTTGTTCAAACCATCAAACTGTCCCACATAATTGACTGCATACTGTCCAGGATCTACCCCACCAATGCTAAGGGAGAGAAGAAACGATATCAGACTTCGTTATCCCATCGGACTGATGAATCTTCCATCCTGGGAAATACCTTTCTGCTCGACGGCCAATTGCAGGCCTGGTGGAATGAGATGCCCCTTTACCTCAGAGAAGACCCCAACATGCCTGACGGTATCGACTTTCAGCGTCAAAGGCGCGTTATGCGAATCCGATTTCTTCAAATCCGGCTTCTGCTCCAGAGGCCAATATTTTTGCTTTTTAGCCAGGGTCAGATTCAGGACGAATTCATGAGAGCTGGTGCAGTTGCATCTTCCCAGGTGTGCATCTTTGCAGCCCAAGAGACGATTCAATTGATACACCAGGACTACAACCGGCAGTTTCTCAACTCTGTGTGGTACAATTTGCACTGTAGGTGTCCTATCCTTCCAGATGAGGATTCTACTCACATGGCAGTAGATGTGTTCACTTCTCTGGCTGTTCTCATGACCGTTCAGACGATGGAAAAGTCCTTACGCAGCCTCTTATCGTCACTACCTGAGCGTGCCGTTTTCGATCGCGGAATGGAATTCCTGCGCGCGGTGAGTACTCTCGCCTCACACTATGTTACAATTCTGGATAGATTGCGAACTCCGCCTTCTGGGCCCAACGAGGTACCCCTATCTTGAAATAATGAACTAAAAGTCCAAGCGCTGACATGCAACAGAATACACAGACGATACCTAGTCGGAACCCTACCGAACCATTGACTGAGCAAGCCTGCGCTCCTCAGACGGATCCCAGTCTATTCGGATTCCGAGATGACATTGATTTCCCCGTCGTCGACTCTCTGAATTCGCTTTTCGAGACTGGACTCCCGCTGTCCACGACGGACTGGGCATGTTTCAATGGTAGTCTTTGAGGGCGGTTGTTGACCAACCAAGCATACTCGAGACCATATCCTGGACCAATAGTAGCTATATGCAGAGATTCCCGCTCGAAAGGATAAGTACGTAATTTGTGCCTCCTTATTCCATCAGTGTTGCTCAGTAGGAAGAAGTGTTGAACACCTTTAGCCTCTCAAAACGTTCCTACCATATCAACAAATAGTATGGGGGATCAATTGCTACTCCTTAACAATAATGCCCACATTCCAATGTCATGACAATGCGACCGCACACGGGCTCAGACCTGCCCTCAGAACTCTGCCGCGCTTTGATCAAGTATCGTTTGGCCCTCTCCGCTCTCTGTACGGTCCGCACATAAGAACTCTGCTACTTTTGAGACACCGAAGAATCTGATGTACACAAGCGGTAAAGATGGGTCCGATCCCGAGAAATCCGCGGCATTCTTTTGTCGGGATTCGGAAGTGTCGGAAACGGACTGTCAGCAGCGTTGGCGGGGGTCGCCTCCCGTAAGGAGCGGAGGCGACTCCAGGAGGCGCTAAGGGAGGCGAGAGTCGCCTCCTAAGGTTGAGGAGGCGCGAGGCGGAGTCTCCCGACAACGCTGACTTGTCAGACGCTAGATGGGTCCGTTCCCGCCTACAAGTTGCACTTCCATTCATGAATTACTAATACCGCCACAGCCATATTTCTTGAATAACATTTTGAGAAAGGAAGATATTACGTTCAGGGTTGCAAGTCAGGGGTTAGTGAGGTCTCAATAAGTTCATTTATTTCCAAGGTAAAGCAAAGCCTCGTTCTCTTTGACTCGAGCTCTTGTCAATTTATCACTTGGTGCACTCATTTCATCGCCTCCAAATAGCCAACCTGAAGACTGGCCACGATGTCTCGCTTCCCATATGGTGTTCCACTACCGAATGGACTTGGCACGGATCCCTCTTTACCCGCTGATGCTCCAACAATAGGCTTCAAGCTCAACCATCTCTGTCTTCGAGTGCAAGATTTGGACAAATCACTGCATTTCTACATCAACCTTATGGGTATGCGCACCGTCTTCGTCACCAATACTGGTCCTATGACAGTGTACTTCCTGGGTTACCCATCAACAGATCGACACCGTGAACACCTCGATGAATTCGGCAAAGAGACACCTATTCCCGACACATTGGGCTTGTTAGAGCTTTTCTATATGCACGGTGCCGAAAAACAACCGGCGGGCTTCTATAGCTCTGGCAATACACCCCCGAATCTAGGGTTTTGTCACCTAGGTTTCAGTGTTCCAGATCTACCAAAGGCATTAAAGAGACTCAAAGAGAGTGGCGTTCCAATCATCAAGGACATCGGTGTATCGACTCGACAGAGCATACCGATCACTGACTGGGAGAACGAACAGGGTATTGGCATTGAAGTCGAGGGAACCGAGAGCGAAATTCACCCGGTCTTCAAGCAAATCTTTGCTAACTTCGCCTATGTTCAAGATCCTGTAAGTTATCATCGGCAAGAGAACCAAATCGGACAAAAAGGCCCTTGCTAAATAGAAGATATAGGATGGATATCTAGTCGAGTTGCTCCCACAAGGCTTTACGGGTGATTAAGCTGCGGCTCAAGCCGATCGCCAAAAGGACACTTAATACAGGACGATATATTCTACAACTCGCGTCAAAATATGTACTTCTATATGTTAAGAATGTATCTACCGTACAGATCCTCTTGAAAAGCGATCTCCGAAAGACGATACCTTGGTGTTCCAATGCGCTATAGGGTTGACAAAACCCGGTCCTTACCAGGATTGTGATTTCGCGAGTCGTAATGTCGAGGTTTTGACCCACCTATTTGCCTCTTTCGGCCAAATCCAGCACCCCGAGCACGAATATTGCACGCATGTCCTTGAAGAGACATTGGCAATAACACTAGTTTCGAAATCGATCTGCTTAATCACTCATATTGTATAGGTGATGAACGGTTTAGCACTTGAGTGCCTGTCACGCAGAGAGGATGTCGTCGTCAGGATCATTGAGCAACCACACAGAAAGCCCTAATTGTTTCATTTCTCTATGCTCTGTGGTTTTTCGTGTGCATATGTGTTCCCTTGGGAGAAAAAAAAAACTATTAAGGCTACGATTGACTTCGTGAAGGCAACCGGTCGATTGCGGACGAATGCTGGGGAAGAATGATTGCCTCGAGCAAGAAGGAGAGTTAAAGTTAGAAAGTTGCTGCGCTGTTGAAAGACTAGCAACATTCAGGAAAGCACCCTTGATGACCTGGCCGAGGACTCGCTGGGCCTGAAAACACAGAAGCCGGGGATCAACAAGGTAACGACGAGCTGGGCATTGAATGAACCGACGGACATCGATAGAAATAATGTAGTATAGGAGCTAGTCCCCTATGGGCTCAGCCCGCACAGGGTGCATGAATATCGTATCGTATCGTACCTAGAACTCGATGCTAGCTAGAATACATTGATTGTATCCTTGACCGCGAACCCTCACCATCTCGATATCGAGGATATCGACTTCTATCGAGTAGGGTGCCCCCTCGGCCACATGATCCACGGATTAGATCTGATGGCGGTGGTATATCATGGGAATCCGATCCATGGACATGTCTATATCGAGGCTCGTCCATCAACGCTCCATACGAGTCGTCTCGAATGTGATCGGTAGAGCTTGTCTGGGCAGTCCAGACTGGATCCGATGAAAAACCACGACCCATCGGATCCAATCCATGGACCACGTCAATATCGAGGCTCGTCCGTTAACGTTCTATACGAGCCATCTCGAGTGTGATCTAGGGCTTGTCTAGGTGGTCCACGGATTGGATCCGATGAAATACCACGACCATCGGATCCAATCCTTGGATGTCAATCTTCTTGTGCAACTTGAGATGAAGGAGTGCTCTGTTCTCTATCTACTTGTCGAGGTCCTGAGGCTCCTTTTATAGGCACACGAATGCTACATTGTTGCACAGAGCAACCATCTGTAACGTCGTCGTCTATAGAAACCTCTCGTCAATATTTCTATGATGGGGTATATACACAACACCCCTGTCCAACAGCAGCATTCATCTTCTAGCTGGATGGTGAGACTTTGCGCTTCATGTTGAGCCTGCCCTAACACCATTTTTGCAGTTGTATGAAACTGAGAGCCCAAGCGAGTCTGTATCGTAGCGCAAGAGCAGTTGGTTCGAGGAATGATTGATTGAATTCGCCAAAGATGAGTAAGAAGCTTTTTTGTACAGTGAACGCCCTGATTTATGATGACTACCAGGGACAACGATAGGTTCATGATAGAAGTAAATGCGATTTCTCAAGGATCAGCTGTAGCGACATCCAATCGAATGGAACAATTCTGAGTTGGTCGGCACACTGAAGAGAAAATGGTTCCAAACATGCGTATTGCGAAATGGATGGTACGCGTAGCTAAGTGAAAATGTTCAATAACGACTCGGCCGGTGACACTCTACGGAGACAATCTGAAGAATGTTGTTGCTTAGCGGCCTGGCCCGCGGCTGATACGATGTTTGATGTCCTCGAGAAATCGTCAACGACGATAGTTGAGTGCACGCATTTCCGGATTCCGGAAAGAACGAGTAGCACGCTGAGCATACAGTGAAAATCCTCAACAGCGACAATTTCATACAAGGACTGGAAGGCGGCAATTTTACGGCGACCTTCAGTTGGAGTTGGAGTCATATGAGCCAGGACTGCATATGAAAGAGTCTGCTGTGCGAGACTAGATCTTGGGACGAACAGAACAGTCTGATCGCCATGGATCTCAAGCCATCATAGCAAGATGGATAGGACCGAGGACGGTAACAGATTTCAAACGAAAATGGTAAATGTCCATATATCTATATCTCTCTAAAGGCACCAAGGGGCTTAGAGCAGCCCTTCGCGCATAAAGACCTGTAAAAGTAGCTTCAACTGAGTTTCGATAGCCCTCCTCCATCCACAAGCCAAGTTACGCACTGAGATTGCCCTACAGATGTCAAGACATGGGTAATGATAGGTGTGCCAGCGAAGCCAATCGAAACACGAAATCTGGCCAAGCGAACGTGATAGGCAAGACGATTCGCGGCGGTCGCAACTTGTTCGGGCGTTTCGTGAAGAGAAAATATGATGGCGAGGCTCAGTGCAGTTTGAGTGTCTGCTACGACGAGTCCAGAGGGGGGCAATATATTTCTCCTGGAAATTTTTCCTCAGCAGGAGGCAGTCGGCGTGATAGCGTTTGGCGTTGGCGTGCCGTTCCAGGATTCCACTCACTCGAGCAATAATGCAGGTGACGTGGACAAGATAGGCGTCTGCAACGAAAGTACCACTAGTACGTGAGTTTCCAGGCTCCTCTGGAAGCGCTGTAGGGTCAAGCCAGTCACCAAGTTGCCAAAGCTCGGGATCCCACAGCCTGTCTGGGCCACGGCGGATACCGAAATCCACCCACGCCCCCATGCTGTCGTATTGCTTGCGTAGAATGCCCACGTCGCCGAAGGTTTGGTATAACGCCCATGGGGTAAGAACAGTCACGTCATCCCAAACGGCCTGAGGAACGCATGCCCGCAGCTTCTGCAGTGCGTTCGGGACAACGAAGGTCGGGATGGATTCAGCTCCTTCTAGCTGTTCGGCCGCGACATCTTCAAGCCAGTCTCCTAACATACCAGCCGTGTTATACAAGAAACTGGCTGAGGGGCAGAAAACTTGTATGTCACCCGTTCACCATTTTCGAGTACTTCGGCGTGTGTAAAAGTGACCTTGCTGCCGGTAGGCTTCCTCAATGACTTGATTCGCAGAACACCAACAAGGTTTTGTCCAAAGTCGATAATGGTTTTTCCAGTCTTGGATGTCAATATAGCTGCCGGCCAAACCTCTTCCGTCACCCTTACTGGTGGAGCGTTGGGTGCAACAAGTTGAGCGTGTGGTAGGTCAAGGGATCTCGCCTTAACCCAGCAGGTATCGTCAAAGTTTTGGCGATCGTTCCACCCGAATTGTTCTTCCCTGGCGTCATACAGCTCGCCGTCGTATATCTCGCTACGGATGATGGCGCTCGGTGCACAGCACCACGACCCATCAGAGTTCAGCCGAAAGGCTTCACCTTGAACTGACGAGATTTCGAGTTGTGAAAGAATAGCAAGTACATCGCCGTAGATGCGTCTCGTACCCCCCGAAGAATCCTAGACGTGTTGCATACCATCCTTCACCAACCTCCACGCCGATAACATTTGGTCCGTTCTCATCTATGAGCGCTGCAATATCGAAGACTTGATAGTTAATGCGATGTCCATAGCTGGTCCAACCAGGAGCCATGCAGTGATTTCCGACTTTCACACCGTTGATATAGGCTTGATAAGAGCCCAGACTGGTGACGTATAATCTCGCTGTCTTCATCTTACCCGTGAACGAGAGGTTGAAAGATTTTCGGAAGCGCAAAGGCCGCATGGGACCATCTCCCTCCATTGTGGCTGATGTTGTGACCGGACGGGCAACCCAATCATGCCGTTCTAACAAAGCGCATTCGACGGTCACCCATGGAGACCACTCAGTTGGCCCAAGGTCCTTGTCGCCCTCGTCATCCGTCACTTTTCCGTATGATCTAACCCTAAGGCGTGCTCGTTCCCGAGACCGTAAAGGCTTGCTGGGCCAACGCACCAGGACAGAGTCTGCACTCGCAACATGATGTAGTTCTTTGTTATTGCCAGGTAGGTGCATGACTTCAATATCATAGGCGTATTGCTCCCAACCTTGAAAGAAAAGCCCCACCCTCGAAAAAAAATCCACCATAGCGAGTAGATTAGGCTATTTTGGTGCTTTTAGCCGTTCTCAATCCAGATCCTCTTTTGTGCCCATCCCGTTTCTCTGGGGTAAATCCGCTCAACCCGGAACAGCAGCGGCGGCTGTATCCTTAGTGTACAAAATCCTCCTACAAATTGATAGCCGACAAAAGACGTCGACAAAACGCGGTTGGAACTCTATCTGAATACTTTGTATAGTAAAGACCGATAAGCCTCGTTGAAGCAAGAAAATTCTCCGGCCGTAAAACGTATACTATTGCGATATGCCCTACTTCCTTCTGTACTTCACACCACTTGAAGTTGTCATGGAACAGATTTGACCAATCCAGATGGCTATCGAGCTGAAACTGGATGGCATTTTCATCTCAAAATGAGTCTTCTAATTGACAAATGGGTTTGAAGTTAAGGCCAAAACCTAGTACGATCCGTTTTAGACGCTTTCGTTCGGCCGAGACATCCAGAACCATGGCAAGATTGCACAACTGTCCCACCGTTGATCGCCGGCGTAGAAGCAGAAGGTGGCAGCCATATATGATGAACACGGAAGCCATAAATTCGGTCTTTGAGGCACTCTCTTTCCTCTTCCAGATCCACATGATGGCGAACAAACAACTGCCTCTCTACGAAAACTCAGGTGTCGGGGGCGCTGTTGAGGAAGAGCCCGTCGAAATGTTATCAGGAGGGGCGAGAGCGTGTGACAGCTGGGACTTGTTCGAGGGGATAATCAAGAAGATGACAAAGTTGGATGTTGTGGAGCAGATCGTGAAGAAGAGGAGTAAAGCTGGCTAAGTAAGACGTGAAGAACGCCATCAAGCTCTTCACCCACGAGCCCCATAAGAAGACAGTGTTTCTATGCTATTTCTCGATGTACCATGCCAGGTCGTTGCTATCATCCAGCTCATACTCGGTAAATCCGTTGCCCATAAACGCAAATTTATTCGCCGAGCCGTATGTAATATTCCAGTCTTCGCCCCTGATCTCACTGATCAAGCGCTTAAATAGTAGACTGCTACCAGCGAAAGTGGCAGTCACCCTTCCATCAACACGATTGTTCTTGTACCACGATCTACACTCCCCCGTCCAAGTCAGCGTTTTATGAATCTGATCACCATACCGCACAAATTGATTCACGGCAGATTGCTTTGGCTCGATGCTTCGAATGTCTTCTCGGGCGATTTTGTCGACCCACTTGAGGATGTAGTCGGAAACCCAATTCAACCCCTCGATCAGGGAGCCATGGCCGACTACAGCATTGGGCCCGGTGAATATGAAGTAATTGGGCATGTCTGGGCAGGCGAGCGACATGTATGACTCGGGTTCGTCCTTCCATTTCTCGCCCAGGCTGATGCCATTACGGCCGATAACTGGGTATGCTGGCCGGTGAGAGACATCAAAGCCAGTTGCGCAGACCACTATGAAAGTATTAGGTCCACTCAAGATACGGCCCTCTTACTTACCAACATCAAATTCTCGCTCTTCACCATCAGCGGTCACAATCGCATTCCTTGTAATTCTCTGGATCGGGCTCTGGGTGAGACCTACATTCGGTAATAGAAATGACTCGAGGTAGCCTTGTCCTGGAGTCACTCTGCGGCAACCTAGCTCCCATTTCGGGATCAGCTTCTGGCACAGTTCCGGATCATGGTTCAATTTGGCAGCCATCTGCTCCTTCGCTATCTCGAAACTGGTCAGGTTCTCGGGCGATCCTTTCACGAACTGCAGCAATTAGTGCCAGTTGCTGAGAAAGGGTGATATACGTCCGTACCAATCTGAAGCCTCGATTGCTGCGCTGAATGAGCGACCGCCTGTACTCACGGTGTGCCCTGGGGTTGGTTGCAAATGTCCGCTTCTGCTCTTCCGAATACGCAGGGTTGTTCGACGTGGCCGCGATACCACCCACATCGTGGCGCGAGACGACCCATGTTGGGCCTCTCTGGAAGCTCACCACCTGTGTTCCAGGCAGCTTTGCCATCTCCGGCAGAATTTGAATTCCGGAAGAACCATTGCCAATGACGGCGATGCGCTTGTGAGAATAGTTGTAGCTGTGATCCCACTCAGCTGAATGGACCTTGTGCCCCGTGAAATCATCAAGGCCGGGGATTTCCGGCCACTTCCAGATATTGAGGAAACCCTGAGCAGATACGACAATATCTGCGAACTCCTCGCGCCTTGACCCTTCGTGCTCGACTGTGACTTTCCATCCCGACGACTCCTCTTGCCAGTGAGCGCCCACAACTCGCGAGTTGAACACGATGTCGCGGTCGAGACCCCACTTCTTAACTGTCTTGGTAAAGTACTCATGGATCTCTGGTCCAGTGGCGTAGTAGCGATTCCAGTACGGATTGGGATCAAAGGGGAAGGCGTAGATATGAGCCGGCACATCGCATTGGATGCCTGGGTAGTTGTTCACCAGCCATGTGCCGCCGGTGTCTGATCTTGCCTCGTAGATGGTGTGGTCCACGATGTCGCTGATCTCTGGTCGCTGATAGCGGAGCTTGTGAGCGAAGATCATGGCAGAAAAGCCGGCGCCGATTGTAATCACTCGTAGTCTCCGTGCAATGTAAGCCGGGTGATTGCGCAGTGGTACATCGAAATCCGAAGCTGATTCGGCATTGTGTTTTATTCCATTGCCTCTGGTGGTGCTCAAATCTGCTGATGGCGTCTTTAAGACAGGGTTTTGGTGGTGTCCATGCTGAGCCAAAACGTGCGCCTCAGGCAATACAGGCGGATCATCGACTGCTATAGGAGCCATGTTCAGTTTATAGACAGACAAGCTCCAAGACCTTTCTTGACGACAGACAACACAGAACAACAATAATGAAAATGTCGATCCGTTGCGGTCTTGGTAATAACGTGCTCCTTTGTTGGTAGCCTTTTAAAACTCGATCCGCAATGCCTTACAGATATTTATATTTCTCGAAGATCCCCGAAAGGGGCAAGCCATTTGAGTAAAATCTGCTCAGAGTGCGGTCGGCATTTGGCCGGATAATTGTGACTTTCCCCAGCCATTGCCGGGACTCTTGGTGCGATTCAGCGGTTCAGGCGGCTATGACTCGCTTCCTCCCATTGCCGTTGTTCCAAACTCTAATCTATCCAGAAGCCAAAGCCTGAAGCTGGGATATGGTCTGCCCCGCGCCAAGATCAACCCCGTTTTTGTTGTTTGGGGAGGGGGGCGGGGAAGGAGAGAAGGGGGGGTTGTGGCTACGAAGAATCTGTGATAATTGGGGCTTCAATTATCAAACGATATAAGTGGCTACAGTGGCTTGGCTCGATGAATTCGAGTCATGCCAGCACTTTTTGGCACGTGATACTGCATCTGTAGCCCAGGAAATCACAAATCCTTTGTTGGCATGTCACGTGAAGCAGTCGTCTTGACATTTTCGAAACTTGCTCAGTCTTGCTCTCTTGTTAGATAGAACAACAACGCAATCCTTCATATCTCTTCTCTGGACTCCACAGTCCATCATCCTTCTCTCCCTTGAAGGATCTACAACACCTCATGCTGCCTAACATAGAGTTCAGAAGCGCGAGAGACAGCAATGAGCGCCGCATACGACGTCGTGCAGGTGTCGCCTGCGAACGCTGTCATGAGAAGAAGGTCTGCTGAGTACTGGAGATCCAGACACGTTACCAGGTACTGACTAATATAGGGTAAATGCGACCTGCAACATCGACAGAAAAATGGCCATGAAGAGGGCTGTACCAATTGTCGGAACGCTGATGTGGTTTGCCGGTAAGCATTTGATCTCCTCCTGATCGTTTTGCAGAGCGCTTACCCTCTTCGCCAATAGAGCTCGGCCGTCTAAGAGGAACCTCACACGCAGAAAGGTATCAGCGGGGTTTACATCCAGCCAGATACCAACTGTCGAAGCCTCTCGCGCTGAAGCTTCCGGCTCAGAAGCAGCAAGACAGAATGCCTCGCTGCTGGTCACTTCGGGAGCGAATTCGGGTGTAACATCACCATTGCAGCCGTTGTATATGCGCACAGCCCACAGCCAAAGTAGCAATGCCTATGACAGTAGAGGCATTGAGAGCGACCGAGACAATCGTTCTCGGAGTGTACATGCTCAGCCAAGTCATGGTGAGAACGCCATCGGCTTCCTTGGAGACTCGGGTTACATGTCAATGTTCCCAGCTACATATGCTCGCACAAGTGCTGATGAAGGCCTGACGATTGGGTCGCGATACCTAGTCAAGCCGCTCTCACCTTTTATCAGAAAATGCTACATCGACATATTCGACGAATTCTGCTCAACATTCTGTCCCATTCTGGACGTTGAGTTGTTAGACAGCTCCCAGTCACTGTTGCTTGAGCAAGCGCTCGCTCTCGTTACCACTACGATTCAACCAGCGCTATTGACGGAGGCAGAGCCATCTGTTCACTACAGCAAGGCCAGGGAGCTTTTCAATTCAGACGCTGAAGCAAATCCACTTGTATCGCTGATTGCAATCATGCTATTCTACTGGTGGAGCACGACGAGCCCCAACGTGGTGAGCAAGAATGGGTCTTGGTACTGGACTGGAGTCGCCATTAGACAGGCGCAAGAGATGGGACTCCACAAACAGCTGCCGGGCAGCCACGGAGGACACTGGCCTGGTGATAGCCAAGCATTACGCAGTCGAATCTGGTGGACGCTCTACGTAAGTGATTCGGTAGACCCGCTACGACTTTGGGCTGATAAGTTTTTTCCCAGGCACGAGAACGCCTCACCTCCATGTCACAGGGCCGCCCTTGTATCATTGACCCTGACGACTGCACTATTGGCAAACCTTCTCCTCAAGACTTTCACTCTGCGCACTGGCAACATGGCGAGGTTTTCGTTCATTATGTCGACCTGTGTGGAATCGTCGGACATGTAGCCGAGCATCTTCGGCGCCATCCGAATGTCAAAGAGCAATCCGACCAGCTCTTCGTGAGGCTTCACGCCTGGTCAAGCGCGCTCCCGGATTATCTGCGGCTACCCTACTCCCGAGGGTCCTCGGCACGATACGCTCGCGACATCCGTCAGTTGCACCTACCGTACTTATCGGCATTGATCCTCCTGGGCATGAAACGGCCAGAGCGCTCAACTCACGCCATGTCTACTCTGGCGGCATCTTCCATTGCACGCATTTTCGAGGACTTTTTGGTCGGAGGCAATCTTCGCTTTTTGCAGGGCATGGCTGGCTGGTACGTCACTCTCGCGCTCCTGGCCCTTATTCGCGCAAGCCAGGTTCAGGTCCTGAAGGACGCAGCTGAAGGCGCCATTGAGGTCTTGGTCGCTGCACTCGGAGATCTGGCGCAACGATGGCCATCGGCGAAAATGTTTCAGGACGGCGTTGAGCAGCTTCGGGCATCACTCGCGTCGGCAAGCATGGTCAGGAACGAAAATCACGCCGAAGAGCCGACCGGAGCTGCCGCCAGCTGCAAGAATCTTGCATTGGTGGTGGCCGGTCAGGTTGAAGTTGAGAACATGTCAGAGACAGACATTCATGAGGCTTTGCGCTATTTCCCTGGGGCTTCCAGAAATTCCACGCCAATATTCGACATTTTGCTATCCTTGACGGGCCCGCTCGATGCACTCAATCACCAAGACGACTTTGACGCAGCATTTCTCGACCTCTTCAACGATATGGACAATCCGCTGTCCAGCTTCTTGCTACCCGGCTATGACGTGCGAGAGATTCGTCTTCGTGGCTAGTACGCATAAGCCACCCTGGTCTCATCCTCGTCCTCGTGCATCTTCCTGTTGAGCTTCATCAACCACACCCTCATGGCCCAAGCACACAGCAAGCTGCCTCCAGCAAAACAGGCCATGGCAATAAAGCCAGGCACGTACCTTGGCCCATCGTGACTCGGCCAGAGATAGGCTGTGTACAGATATGCAATGGTGGCACAAACGTTGACCATGCTGTAGGCCACGGCCTTCTTCTCGGGCGTCTGCGAGAGGGTAGCGGAAACCCAACCCAAGATGACGCTGCCAACGCCGAAAGCACCGGTGGCAAAGAGAATGGAAGCCGCATATCGCGCTGCTGTGTTGAGCGTGGACATACTAATAATGAAGCCAACTATCGCCAGCAGCAGCGTCGCGGTGATATGCCATGTGCGCTCGTTAAAGTGGCCGGATGTCCACGCAATTACGATGCCGACAGCTCCAGACACGAAGTATGGTGGAGAGGTCAGGAGTAACGCCGTAATGTTGGAGAAGCCCATCGATTTCACAATCGTGGGGAAGAAGAATGTGAACGAGCAGGCGCTGATGTGCAGGTTCTGCATCAGACAGAAGAGCCAGGTCTTGGGGTCGCGTACGGCTTGCCGTAAGCCATCCATGGTGCTGCCGCGGGGCGCTATGCCAACGATGTCGCGTTGGATCCGGGCAACAGCGAGTTCGCGCTCTCGAGGAGTTAGCCACCGTGTGTGGCCTGGTTCGTCCGGCATGAGGTACAGACCGACGCACGCGACACCGAAAGTGGTCACACCTTCGACGATAAAAAGCCTATCATATTAGCCACCATTTCTCAGCAGTCTGGCATCTGACCCACCATTGCCAGCCTTTGATGCCATGTGCTCCATCCAGGGTCGAAAAGACCGCCGCCGCAATCAGCCCTGCAGTCCCGTTGGCAACGATCTGTCCGGTATACATGATAGCAATGCGCGAAGCCAACTCCTTGCGGGTGTAGAAGATGGACAGCATATACAGGACTCCGGGGTAGAATGGAGCTTCCACGAAGCCGAGGAAGAAGCGGCAGGCGACAAGGCCACTGAAGTTAGTGACCACAGCCGTGCATGCTGATATGACAGCCCAGCCCATCATGCACACCGGCATGTAAATCGACGCGCGCGTTCGGGTCAGGAACATGTTGGATGGGATCTGCATAAGCACATAACCCACCTGCAAGATGGAGATGGCGGTGTTCCATTGCACGCCTTTGAGGTTGAGGTCTTCCTCGATGCCGTTGAGGCGTGCCTGCGGGAGATTGTTGCTATGCGTGTTTAGCTGGCGGACGGCCTTGACCGTGAAACGAAGACTTACCGGTCAATCCAGTTGAGATAGTACATCGCCCACATGATAGGTAGGATGTAGAGGTCCAGCTTTCGGACGAGTTGGATCTCTTCGGGGTCGGTCTTCTTTGAGGCTCCAGAGTAGTCGACAGCAACTGTGCCTTGCGAGGCCTCCTTTTCGTCAAACCGAGACTGGGGGGATGTAAACTCAATCATTTCATCTTGAGGTTTACTCATTATCTTGGACTCGACTGCTTTGCTGTCTGGGGTCGCCATGATTAACACAGGCGTTGAGAGTAGTGCAGACACATAATTGTGAAGCAGATACCCCAGACCGATATATGAAGAATGGCGGGACTAGACGCTGGCGGCAATGGAGCCGGCTATGACATTGCGGAGAGGCAATGATCGACATTGAGCTAAGGTCTCGGCGCTTGCGGAGATGCTTGGCGCCCCGCCAATTGTTTGTTTATGCCATGTGTAAGCTAAGCCTATAGGGGACTAGCTATCTTGCTACGTACTACCTTCGTTCTCTACTTGTTGAACAATAGTTAGTACCCCTTTACTTAGAAAGGGTTATCACCCCTATGCAGGATATAGGGGAAGAATAGGAATAGAAAATGGGTCAACCAAGCATGTATATACTGGCAATCTGGCAGGACCAGTTGCCAAAGAGGTAGAGCATTCAATACGTCTCAATTTGCTCCCTCAGTTTGACGATCATCCACTGTCCAACAGGGCCCTACCAACATATCAATATATTCTTGGTATCCTATTTCGTAGTCTACATGCCATCCGGCAAACTTTCCAGTCCTGTCCAGGTTATAATATGTTACCATTAATCTCACGTAGAGGGGCTCGTGGCGCTAGCATTATTGAGGGCAGGAGCAGAAACGCGTCGCGAAATGCAAAAGTTGCTCTAAAACTACCAGAGACTTTTGAATTGGTGTTGTACTACACCGTCCCTAAATTGAATCGACTCGAGTCATATCGAGCATGACAGATAGATTCTGTTGGACGACGAGAGGTCTCCATGGGCGACGACGTTACAGATGGTTGCTCTGTGCAACAGTGTAGCATTCGTGCGTCTATAAAAGGAGCCTCAACACCTCGATAGGTAGATAGAGAACAGAGCGCTCCTTCATCTCAAGTTGCACAAAAGTTTGACAGATTCTTGATGTAGAGGGCACTGTGACAAAAGAGAAAATATAAAAATGGTCTCCTCGCTGAAACACACTACTATTTATTTTTCCACCTCATTATATGACCATTACTATTCCTTCCACCGTTCTCAACATTAACTCCTACTCGTTTATCTATTATCTATCCCCCATGACGTCGTTAGGGTTCGCCTTCGATCGTCTCGATCTATCTTGTCTCCCGCTCGACTTCTTATGGATGGTCTTCCGGTGTCGGGTCGAATTCTAAACGGCGAGGGTTCAAGCCTTGATACCATTGCTCGTACCACCGAGGAATATTTTCATCAAAGGTTCTCCAGTACTCTGGTCTCTGGAATTCGTTCATCGTCTCCTGGTCGTAAAAAACTCGGTCCCACAACCGAGATGAGACGGCCATGATGTGGCCACGACAACTGTATAGCCGATCCGCTACTGTAACACCCATCACGCCACGAATTCCCAGCCACTGCAAAGGTGGCAGGAAGGGGGCTGGGCGTTGGAAAGGAGGTAGGAAGATGAACGGATCGAAGGTATAAGAAGAGCCTTCGAACCCTTAGATAGAGACAGGTTTCAGTACATTGCCATTCCACACCCTACCTTGTACGCTCGCAACGATTTATGACCCCTCTCCTCACACCCTCTCTTAGCACTGTTGTTACAGAATTCGTGGCGTGATGGGTGTTACAGGTGCAACTTGAGGTGGATTGAATGCTCCGTCCATCCAGCAACTGACCCTGCCAGGTTGCTGGTATACACACACGTTGGGCTGACCCTTTTTCCTCTCCTGTTCCTACCCCGATATCCTACATAGGAGTGATACCCCCTTTTCCCATCAAGAAGTACTCGCTACTGTTCAACCGTCCAGCGAAACCTTGTTCGACACCTATTGTAAGGTGATGAACGGTTTAGCACTTGAGTGCCTGTCATACAGAGAGGATGTCGTCGTCAAAGCTGTTGAGCAACCACACACCAAGCTCTAATTACAAGAAAAGTTCAACGCTCTCGCCATCTTTATACCCACCCATGTTTGTTTGCCCCTTACATAATCCATGCACGTAGCGCCCCGCTACAGTAGCGCCTCGCTACACTATCGATATGAGGTCTGTTGTGCAGAGTGCAAACAATCACTTCAGCTTCGACTAGTTTGAGGGCCGTGCTAGAAGTGATGAAGTTCGACATGTCCGCTCGAAGTCGGCTTCTCTAAGCCGTCACCATCTCTCCTGCGAGAATGAATATCCGTTCTGGCTCGGAAGAGATGGCGGGAATTGGAAAGAGATCTATCGACATCCTCGACAGACGTGGATATTGTCGTAGGGTGCTCCCCTTCCCTTAGAGGACATTGTCATGGCACAACTTGAAAACCCCTTGAACGGTCTTGGCAGGCCCACTGTGGCTGTCGAATAGCCTCGTGTGCCTACCGACAGCTTTGTGTGCCTGCGTGGTAGCCTTGCAGTATGACTGTACCGCTGGCTATAAGTATCTAGGATAGCTTTGCACTGCTTTCATGCTCTTCGTCTCTCGTCTTGTGCTTTATAGTGCATTGGATAGTAATATCATTGTCGGACCTCCACTCTCGTTCCCTCGTGCGTCCCCATCTTGACAGACATAGTCTATGGATCGGATCCGATGGCCCGTGGTATTTCATCGGATCCAATCCGTGAACCATCTCGATATCGAGGCTCATCCGTGAACACTTCATACGATCCATCTCGAGTTTGATCAGTAGGGCTTGTCTAGGTGGTCCACAGACTGGATCCGATCCATGTGTTGTGATATGATGCTCGATTGACTGTATAGATCATGGAAATATTCCGTGCTTGGTAATTTGATGGAATCTTCTAGTAAAAGGATCTGGAGTATATGTATCTCTTTTCTTTCTTTGTAGAATAGTCCATGGACCATCTCGATATCGACTTCTATCGAGTGGGTCTCCCCTAGCCACATGGCCCACGGAGTGGATCTGATGGCCGTGTGGTGTGGGGGATGTGATTTTACGGAAGTGTTGAGAGAATGGATGTAGGCATGTATGCGTATTGGGCTATGGAGAATTTTCCCTGGTCTGAGACTATCTGTCAAACTTGGTGTGCAACTTGAATTTGAATGAATGCGCTGGCTCTTCCAATGAGCGCAGCAAAGAGCCCATCTATATACCTATTTGAACGGCATCCTTTAGTGTTGTTTCCTGTGCTGCAGCTTAGCAGGAAACCATATTATAGGTCAACAGGACCTTACGTTCTGGCTAGGGGCGTGGTCCGACAGATGAGACGGGAAGATGGGCAAGTGGAAACCGAACCTAAACGCCGTTAAGGATATACTAGACTCTACAGAGAGGTTGGATTGGACGCCAGAACCACGGTAGTGGAGGCGGGGAGACAAGAATGGTGTTGAACAATGTGTGGCGACACTTTCAGTTATGCAAGGACGTCATCTATGAAGCTGAGCACGGAGACGCCGAAAGGCGGTGTTGGGGAATTGAGGGCTCTCGCTTCGTGCAAGAGGTCCTGCTATCTAGCTTCTCTACATACTTGTTCAATGAGTCAACGAAATAAGCACACGCAGGTATGAGAAGTGTCAAACAGAGCGAGATGCGGATAGAAGGGGTGAAAAACTCGTGCAATTATGGATTGGGGGAAAGCCCCCCATATAAGCCAGAATAGGGGCACTTGGCACTTGGCACCAGCTGTCTGACAAGACTGATGTTGCTGGGTGGTCCTAATGCTCCGCGTTACCCCCTGTTAGGTTTTGGCAATCCGATTACGTTGGCACCAGAATCCCGATAGAATCAGCAATTAAATTCAATTACAGTATTGCAAACACTAGAGGCTACTGAAGAAGTCTCCGCAGAATATTGGGGGGGGGGTAACTCGGCTGCACAGCACCCGCTAATCTCAATCATAAGTAGATCAACTCTGCAGGGCGCGCCAAAGCCTCTTTGACATAGTCCAGACTGTACTCATGCCTGTGCTGTAGCCTGCGACAGCCTACGGCAGCCTAGACGAGTAACTGTGTATTTAAAGTCGCTCATTACCCCTAGATAGTTAGATAGATAAGCCTCCATAGCCCAATGCGCATGCATTCCTGCATCCATTCTCTCAACACGTTGTCGGTTTACTCTCCCCTAGAACAACGTACATCATCTGTGTCAGTGTATCTATGGGTGTATCTGCCTAGAGTCAGCCCCGACATCGGTAGAAATAAATGTAATGAGGCAGCCCGCACAGGGTGTGTAAATATCGTATCGTATCGTATCGCATGCGGCCGGGTGGTCCGGGGTTAGTAGAGTTCCTTTTCCAATCACGTGACAAGTGGCTTGGCATTGCTTATGCAGCAACTTGTACCCTTTTTCAATATATTCCCTAACTAGCCGTTATTAGCCAGAATAGGCAACGCTGGCTTGGCGTGTCACCGCAAGCAGTAACACCTGGGGCAGCTTGCACTCTCAACCTTTCTACTTAAACAATCCCTCCATCTTCTCCCCATTAATTAATCCATCATCCCCGTCGCCACCGACAAGTTCTCTACCGTGTATGCTACACTTGTTGCTTCCTCTACCCTCAGATCGAAGACCCTGCCTCCAACTTCGCGACCCCCTATTCCACGACAGTTCGCGTGCGCTTATCTTGGGCGAGTTTGAACTCTCCACAACCCATCTGCGAGTCGTCACATCATATCATCTCCCTCGTTTGACCCTCATTCGCGTCGATCATAATGAACGCTTCTAATCACGAAGCTGGGCAAGGCCAGAAGAAAATCCCTACAATTCAAGAGATGGAAAGTTGGAACGATGAGCAATTGCTCAAATGGATCAAGGATAGGCAACCGAAGATTTTCCGCGATAACGACGACGTTTTGACATTCAAAGCGGCAAAAATTAGTGGCTCCGCCTTCATGGAGTATGCTGAAGATCTAGATTTTTTCAGAGAAATTCATCTGCCCCTCGGAGTTTATAGGGATCTTGCATCTCTTGCAAGAAAAGTTAAGAAACAGAGTAAGAGCAGACTGTGGATACAACTTGGACACTGGCTAACAGTGTTAAGACGATCAATCGAACCAGACAGCTGGCCAAAAGAGGAAAGGTAATTACGCCTTTGATGTACTATACGATAGCTAGCTGATGTCGTTACAGAGGATGAAACAGATTTATCTGACGGGTCGCCCATTTCGTCCAAAAGACGTCAAAAATATAAAGATAAAGAGGAAGAGGAAGATGAAGAGAAAGTCATACAATTAGCCACTGAAGCCAATAAGCGAAGAAAGGCCGTTAAGGATATAATTACTCAGATGAACGACTCTCCTGACCAGCACTCCGATTCTATCGATCCTCTTCCTGGAGCTATCGATAAACTTTCCGACCCCACATTAAATCACACGCTCGACTTCCCATTTATCGATAGTATGCCAGAACGATTTAATGAGCGCAATATAGCTAAAGGAAAGTGGCTATATATGGGGAGAACGATGTTCAAAGACTTCCTCGACGAGGTAAAGGAAGTGCGAAAGAGTCAGGTTTATCGAAGATGTTGGCTCTATGGAACCCAGGGCTTTGGGAAGTCCCACCTTCTAGCCGCCCTCGTCTGCTACTTTGCTGCTCAAGATGAACGGGTCGTCTACCTACCGGATTGCCGGGGGTTGCTCGATGACCCTGTTTCCTACGTCAAAAAGGCAATGCTGTTCGCTTGGGCCGACGATTTCACCACCCAGAAGAAGATTATGGCCCTACGCACTCAGGACCAGATCGAGAAATTCTTCGAGTATCAAGAAAACGTCATATTTGTCGTTGATCAGATGAATGCTTTCAAGAGCGATGGCTTTGGAGACAGGGAGGTGGCTCGACAGCTGCGTCGATGGGTTATCAGATTCACCTCTTCGCATAAAACAATCCTCAGTTCCTCTGCAAATTCTACGGACGACCTTGAAGAGTTTAAACATCAGACCTATAACTGGGTGGTACGCGTCTATGGTGGTTTCACTAAGGTAAGTGGTGTCAAATTCGTGTCACAACGAGGTTCCTAACTCGCTTAGACGGAAATGAAGCAGTGGTGGAGGCAGCATAAAGGTATTAAGTTGAGAGGGTATACCCGGGACAAGGTTGAAGACTTTACGGGCTGCATCCCATTACTCCTGAAGCAATTCGTAAAGAATGGGGAGGTCGATTTGACAGCACCCAAATTTAACCAAATCTATGATGATTCTGTGCATTTTGTGCAGCGAATCAGGTCTACTGTTGGGAATTTTGATTGGAAGGGGTATGTTCGACTGATTCGATTGCCCAGGACATTTCTGACTTTTCAGGTATTGCGCCTTCGTGAGGGCTTGCATTTGTAACGAGCGCGTACCACCTGGATGGGGGGCACACGTCGAACTGATCGACCATCGGTACTTTTATCAGCGCAACGACAAGATTGGAAGATATACCTGCGGTTTAGTTCGTGACGCTGTCACAAATCAGCTTTTCGAGTTGGATACTACTTTCATCGACACCGGGTTTCTGGCTTCATTGAGTGACTTCGTCCACAATCGATGTGTCGTCGGATATATGATGGAATACGCCATCCTCACATCCATCCGGTCAACAGGCTTAAGGATTTGCAAAGGCTGGGACAAACCGATGAAGTTAAGATTCTTCACGCAACAAAAGGATATTCAGTTCGACATCCAAGATGAACGCGTACTTTATCGACCTCGACAGACCAATTACAAGACGATAGATGGAATGATTCTCTCGATCAAGACCGAAGAGAAAGCCGCGAAAGGGAAAAAGCCGAAATTACTCATCGCCCCCATCCAGATCACAGTGGCAAAAAGTCACTCGAACTCTTATCGGAATTTCTTGCGTGAATATCGCCACTGGGTCAAGGGCCAACTACGGGAGTTTGATATTGAACTAGAATTCCTCTGGATCACCCCAGACAAGTGCGACGCTGTACAACACCCGCCCTATCCGCCGTGGCCTAGCCACCAAGAGCGTTGTATTCCTTTCGACGAGGTTAGCACAGACATTTACACCAACTACCAAGATGCAGAGAAAGCCGGAAAAGAGAATGAACAGAAAGAAACTAAAAAAGTGGAGAAAGCCGATGAAGAAGAGGAAGAAGTCCAAGAAGAGAAAGCCGACGAAAAAACCGAAAAGGACCAGAGAAGTGGACGCGTGACACGGTCTACGATAAGGGGATCTAGGGCAGGGCGATCTAGGGCGCGCTAGCGGATGCTGGACGCTGTTGGCCCAGGCTGGCAAATAGATAAATCGTATCCAGATAAATCCAAATCAAATCAAATCATGATGCTGGATTTATTTGGATATTTGGATAAAAAGTTCTGTCTAATCAGCGCTCGCCAGCATTCGATAATATTTTGTCGAACAAAGGTCTCATTGAACGGCCGAATAGTAGCAAGTGCCCCTTTTGTTGAAAAGGAGGTTATTACCTCTATATAGATTTTAGGGGTAAAAATAGAAAAAGAAAAGGAGTCAACTCAACGTGTATATATACCAGTAACCTAGCAGAACCGGTTGGGTGTAAACAGAGCATTCAATACATCTCAAGTTGTTCCCCAGTTTGACAGTGGTCCACGGATTGGATTCGATGAAATGCCACGACCCATCGGATTCAATCTATGAATTATCTCGACGTCGAGGCTTGTCGTTCACGCTCGGTTACGAAGTAGAGCTTCTCTGGGTGGTCCACAGACTGGATCCGATGAGCGACGGGGGGACTTTATCGGATCCAATCCATGAACCACGAGTGGGAGCCCGGGGAGGCACATGGTCCACGGATTGGATCCGATGAGGGTGAGGCCGGAAAAATAGTTAATCCGACGACGCTGGTACGGAAAATATTTGATCCGTTAGAGTGGTTCACTCATCGGATCCAATCCACGGACCATATCGATGTCGAGTAGGAAGGGCGCGCCCACTCCGGGGGGGCCACATGGTCCACAGACTGGATCCGATGGGTGGATCACGTCGATATCGAGTAGAGTGCCCCCCGAGTACATAGTCCATAGACTGGATCCGATGGCGACGTGGTAGGAACTTTCATGTAACAATGTCACGTGACTTTGCCAAGCCGTATGCTTACGTGATCGGCTAGCACGACGGTCTTGGCGTCGCCGCACAACGCCAAGCTGTAATCGGGTGGTTCCAAAATTAAAAAAAAAAAACAAGTTTATATTTTATAATGCCAAAAACTGCTTCAAAATTGACACCAAATCGTGGTTGACCTATCAAGGACGAAACCCAGTGGGCACACTAAGTTTCAGTCGAACCGATAGAATTGAGGGACCTTACTAGTGTTCGATCATAGGTAAGGCAAGAGGGTTGTCCGGCCTAGATTTCTAGGTGCCCTAGATGGGTAAACGTAATGCTCCAGCCAGTGATTGTTGATGTTAAACTGAGTGATACCGAGGGGGGTTCAAACCTTCCTGTCGGTGAACTTGTCTAGCTTAAGCATTCATTGGTTGTGGCGCCCCATTTATCAGTTCGTCAGTGATGGACTATAGGAGGGGAGCTTTGGTGTTGATTATTTTTGTCGAAAGGTGTGTGCTGTAGAGATATCTCCTCCTTTGTGTGTGTGTGTGTGATAGAAGCCCTTCAAACGGTCTTGGCAGGCCCACTGTGGCTGTCGAATAGCCTCGCGTGCCTACCGATAGCCTTGTGTGCCTGCGTGGTAGTGAAGTTATGAGCTGTTGAACAATAGCATTGTGTTAACCTGTGAGACAATATATAGCAACACTTTCAGCGTGGCAATTGGTATTCAGCTAGACAAAGATTTCATCTACGAGCTGAACACGGAGACATCGAAAGATGGCGGCAATCTGTCGAACTGTCATGACACAACCTGGAAGCCCCTCGAACGGTCTTGGCAGGCCCACTGTAGCTGTCGAATAGCCTCGTGTGCCTGTCGATAGCCTTGTGTGCCTGCGTGATAGCCTTGCGGTATGACTGCACCGCTGGCCATAATTATCTGGGATAGCATCGCACTGCTTTCGTGTTCTTTGTCTCTCGTCTTGTACTTTATAGTGCATTGGACAGTAATATCATTGTCGAATCTCCACTCTCGCTCCCTCGTACGTCCCCACCCTGACACGAACTTATAGTACAACTTGAGTTGAAGGAGTGCTCTGTTTTTTATTAAGTTGAGGTCCTGCCTCGTATATTTATATAGACAAAGATTGTCGCTATCTTTCGATGTCTCCGTGTTCAGCTCGTAGACGAATCCCTTGTCCAGCTGAACGTTCATTGCCACGCTGAAATCGTTGCCCCATATTGTCTCACGATTCAGCACAATCTTTGTCCATATAAACATGCCAGATAGAACCTCAACTTGATAGAAATAGAGCACTCTTTCAATCCACGAAGTTTAATATAAGCTATTGTTCTTGTTGTTCTATAACTTGTTCTACTAACTTGCTGAAATATATACGCGTTTAGTTACCTCTATTCTACCCCTTCTCTAATAAAGAGGCACCTACTACTATTCAGTCGTTCAATGAGACCTTAGTCGATAGTTGGCTTATATAACTTAAATTTAAATAAATGCTCTAGCCTTTTTAAGAAGGGTAGAATAGAGCTGATTTATCTACACGACGTATATTATCGGGCTTTTTCTAAGAGTGTGGAATAAAGTTTATCTAAATATCTATATACGCTGACGTTATCGCTAATATCGCTTATCGTGCGACTCGATAAGCGAGAGCGTAATCGAATTCGATACTTTATCGACGATAAAAATATTTCATCTTTAACTCTTTTATCTAGTCGAGATCGGCCTTTTCATTTCCGGGTTAAATGGTATGAGAAGCGGCGACGACTTCGAGAGAAGCTTCGTCGTTAAGCTCGATATCGAATCAACCAATCTTACTTCATAACATTCTTCCTCACGTCGATATTAATCGAATCGAAAATCGAATCGATTTCGATCACGTCGACTCCGATCATTCTCGACGAGATAAATCGTTCATCGACCCTTCTCCCCAGTCGAGTGTGACGATAAAAATATCCGATCTCTCGTCTTTTAAATCTTTACCTCGTTCACCCTCCTCTATTTCTATCCCATCGCGATCGACTTTACGATCTCGAACGAGAAGCTCGATTCGATCTCGAGAACGCTTCTCATTCGAAACTGCGATTCCTCTTCCCGTTACCTCGCTCGCTCATTTTCTCGCCACACAACTCCTTTTCGCCAATCCGGCCTAAACTCTCCTCGAACTCGCTCATCATATACCCGAAGTGAACGATGATCTCATCGAGACGCTTCATCAACGTCAACATCATGAGGAGGAAAATTCATTCGCCGTCGACGAGATCGGCCTTGGTGCGGGTCTCGATTATATTCAGTCACACTTTCCGGCCCATCAACAGCTTCCCGATTTAATCTCGACGTCGTCCATTCGATCGCCGTCGGTGACGTACTCGACGGAGGAGCTTCAATATCTCTTTACGGGTTATACGTGCGAGGTGGATCGAGATGCTCGGCCGCGAATCAATCCCGTCGTCGAGTTTTCGACACGCTCAGGCTAATGCGCGAGCTCTATATACGGAAACGAGAACCGCGACCATCACGACTCGAGCGCATCATCAAAATTTACAGTATGAACTCCCGGCGACATTTCTTCCGGCCATTCAAGAAGCCATCTCGCGTCGCGTGGACGAGCCGGGTCATCATCTTTTTCGAGATGCATTTCTCGTCGTGGTGGGAAAGGGATTAAAGTTACGACCGTGGAAGACGGCCAGCTGGACGAGCACGATGGACTATTTCTTTAACTGGTTCGAATCGCGATTTGACTCGCAATACTGGACCGAGGATGCGGTTCATATCGACGTCGGTCAAGAGACGCTCCCGTCGTCGTCGTCGGCATGTAGTCTCTTATGGCGAGAAGACTTTCTGCGTTTATTTGCGGCGTGTCTCGATGCGTATGAAGAATCGCCATCGACGTTGACACCCACTCTTTTCCCATGGGGCTTTGTGCGCGGCGTGAATGATGCTACGCTCGAAATTCCCCTGACATCTTCGCTTCGTGCTCAAGGTTTATCGTACGTTCAACATTACGCCAGTTTCAAGGAGATCTTTGCCGCCGGCAACACGTATCCCTTTTCCAATACGGGTTTATCCAATTTGACGTTAAGCCCCGACGTGCTGACCACGTTTCAACAGATCGGAGGTGCCATCAGTGTTCGACCGGAGGTGCTCGCGCGGGCTTATATCCACAGTAAACGTCGCTGTCATTATGGACTGTGGGCGTCCGCCGCGACGTCGTACGGGACGCGCTGGGAGTGTCGAGTGACCCTCGGTCTTCTTCGACAGATCGATCAGTGTGCTCGTCACCACCTCTCTTCGACCATAGTTCCCGTTCATCGAACGGGGCCCGACTCTTGGGTGGCTTATCCGACCGAAACCTTGGTGGAATGGTATCGATGGAACCTCAACAAGTTCTGTTTCGGCTTCGAGACCCTTTATGGGCGTTGTCAGAAAAAACCCTACATTGCCTGGGAACACACTCAACTCATGATTCTGATGCTTCAATGTATCTCGTGCTTCGCCGGGGTTCTGATTCCGGGTACGTATCCTCAACTATGGCTGGATCGTTACCAACCCCGTTCTCGTCGAGGTGGTTTATCCGTCACGGCCTCGAAACCTCGACACGGGCTCGGAATCGGAATCAATATGCACGAGTTCGGCTACGGGTGGTTTGTCGACCACATCGACTGGGCGAACTGGGTACTCCGGCCGGAGATCAGTGGTCAATTCCGCGTTCAGTCGATCTCGATCTTGACGACGTTTCGAGCTCAATATCGACGACTTCGAAATCATATGGACGACTACGTGTTGGTGGCTTCATCGGTCTCGCTTCTGTCACGGTGGAAAGAGTCGTCGGCTCATGTGGCCTTCATCATGCGACTCTTTCGAGCGATTTGCTTTCGAGCTTTACTTCGAGACGTCTTCCAGATTCTTCGACCCTATATTAACTCGAACCATTGGTCCGACATCGCGAACGGGAAACGAGGATTAAGTATGGATACACTTAATTTAGTTCTAAATCCTCGAGAGGCGACGACGCATGTGATGGTGGCCTCTCATCAAAAAATTCGACACTTTTATGG